CGTATCCTGAGAGAGGAGACAGCATGGCCTCCGTCTAGAGATGAGGAAACTGAGGCTCTGTTCCCCGGGGGGCAGTGCGGGGGTGGGGGTGGTTCTACCCATCTGGCCTATGTCTCTCTGGCAGCCCAGGGCCTTGTCTGCTTCTCTGTCGGGAACGTCCTGGGGCCTCGCTGCTCTGCCTGGGGAAGGAGGGATGTGAAGCAGAACCAGGCTCGGAAACAGCTGTGAGGTTTGGCGGTGGGAAACCTCTGGTGACTAATTCCCCGCTTTGATCCGGCAGGGAGGGAGCCCATGGGAACCGAGCGCCTGCAGGCGCGGCGCTGTGGCGTCGGCCCTCAGGGTCACCCACCCTGTGGAAGCTGGGGTTCAGAGGGGTCTGACCCCAGACAGAGCCCAAGCCTTGCCTTCACCCCACGTGGTGTGGGGCAGGGGAGGGCTCCTGTGATGGAGCAGGACCCCCACCCCCAACGAGGCGCCTCCTCCCAGGCTGGGGCTGTGCACCCTCACATCGCCCAGCTCCGCTCCTGACCAGCTTGTCACCACCTGGGACACTCAGCCTGGACCTGCCCTGCCTTGGGCCAGCCTGCCCTTGACCAGCCCCGGCCCTTCCCCGGGGTGTCCCTCCTCTTGGAGCACCCAGACCAGGCTCAGGCCTCCCTCTAGCCCGTGGCAATGCCAGGCTTGCAGACGGTCCGCACAGCCTTCCCCCAACCCCAGCTGCTTTGCTGAGGCTCAGCTGGGGCCTGGGACGAGGGCCCAGCAAGGCTGGGAACACTGCCCTCCCAGAGACCACAAGCAGGGTGACAGCTCAGTTGAATCTTGCAGGAAAGAAACCTATTTCACAGGCTCTAAGCCACCATTTCTCAAATTTCTGACCATGGAGTCATCACCTTCCTCAGGCCAGTCTATTAACCTTCTTCGGACTGGTGTTCCACAGGACACCAGTTTGGGAAAGGCAGCATGAAGGGTAACTGCGGGAAGGGCCAGCAAGGCCGTTTCCCTCAGTACACAAAGCCCTTGTCCAGCAGCGCCCCCACACGCAGGTCAGGAGGCAGGGAGGCCCCGTCACAGACGAGGAGGCCCAGCTGGCACTCGGGGGAGCCGGGACCGGGTCACAGGCTGTCTGAACCCGGAGCCCGCTCCCTCCGACACCCCTCCTGCCCCTGGGAGCTCAGCCACAGGCTTTCCTCTGGAAGGCAGGGGCCCAGTTCTGCAGCAAACAGGCGGGGTACACGCAGCTTCTCCCTAGGGTGCTCCCCACAGAGGGGCCCTTCAAGCAGGGCCTGGGAGGACAAGCAGGAGCCCTGCAGCTGAACCAGGGTGCTGTGCGGTGGAGCGGAGCACAGCTTGCGCCCAGGGAACAGCGTGACGCTCAGGGCGCCAAATGTGCCAGTGAGACTGCTGGGACAGCCTTTTCCAAACCCCAGAGCTGGTGGGAGCCCCTGGGCAGTGAGGACGCCGAGGCTCAGAGCGCCGGCTGGCTTCCCGGGTCCCACGGCCGGCATGTCCACCTGACCCAGCACTCTCTCTGGAGTGTCACGGTGGAAGCAGGGTCAGGAAGTCCTTCCTGGAAGGGTCTGCTCTGCGGGGGAGACGGACATGCCGGGAACCCCAGAAGGAAGGCAAGGCCCGTGAGGCTCTGTCCCGCAGGCCCCCCAGGATAGCCACCTGTCACCCCACTACCCTGTGCTTCAGGGTGGGGGCACCACACGGAGAGTAGGGCTGAAAGTTCAGCCCCCGGGCCGTTCACTGACTGGGCTGGTCACCTGCGGACAGCCATGCACCCGCCTCTGGCCACTGGGAGGGCTAGTGCCACGAAGGGCAGCTCAGGGCTCGGCCAGCCTGGAGCGAGGAGCACTCTCGGGGCGCCTCCCTGCTGTGGTCCCCAGGGGCAGGGTGCCCTCTCCCCTAGGCTTCATTAGGGTGCCCTGTGGCCAGTTTCTGTGGTGTCGGGTGACAGCTCTGAGGCGCATGGTGTCTCCTGCCACATGAAGAAGAAGGAGCCTTAATGAGCTCCAAGCTGTACCTTAGTCTCTTTTTTAATCCATGCAGATTTATAGAGGGGCAAAGTTTGAGCCGCACCTGGGCTCAGTTCAGCAGGACTTATGGGCACACCCAGAGTCTGTGGTGGCAGCCACACTAGTCAGGGCATCTGGGGCACCGGCAGGTAAGGTCCAGTGCCCCAGATGGAGTGGGATAGACTGTAGGGGCCAGAGTGGCTTGACGCCAGGCGAGGTCACCGCATGGGGCTTCTGTGCAGAGAAAACGCAGAACTGAAGCTCTGGCTGTCCCCGGCCCTGGCCTCCTACTTGCAATGTGGTCTGCCCTCGCTGGGCCTTGGGGTCCTGCTCTGTAAGACAAGGCTGCTGTGATGATTAAGACCAAGTGCAGGGGTCACTGAAGGCCCAGGACGGGACTGGGCCCAGTGTGTGTTGTGGCAGCTCAAAGGCCAGGCCTGCATGAGAGGCCCAGGGCAGACACCGGGAACGTGGCCCTAAGGGGTCCTAGCAGGGCCTGAGCCCAGGGTGGAGGAGGGGCAGGGCTCAGTTCTAGCAGATTGCTGAAGCGGGAAGGGCTCAGCTTGTGAATCTGGGGTCAGAACAGCCAGGAGCCTCCAAGAGGACACCGGTCAGCTGGTGAGCCTTCCGTAATGGGAGCCTGAGCTGTGGCCGGGGCTCACCTGGAGCCCTGGGCCTGAGCCCCTGAGACTTTGGAATGGGCCACTCCCCCTCCGCTGGGCCCCAGCAGTCCCCAGGCCATCACCCCCCCCCCACCCACACTCTCCCCTCAGGGTGAGGCTGGTGGCCGGAAGCACTTACCTGACCAGTTTTCAGATCTGCCCTGGCATCCCGCCTGGTGCGAGTGCCCCATGCTCTCGGGTCTGGGGAGTCATATCTAGGCTGGCTGCTGGGGCAGGGGAGGGGGTGTGGCCTGGAGGGCCAGCCAAAGCACCAGCGGGCCGGGCGGCCAGCTCCCTGGCTGCAAGACCAGCTCTCAGTGGGGCCAGGAAGGTCCTCTGGGAACAGCAGAGTGTTTCCAGGGATAAGTCCCTCTCACCAGGTGCAGGAGGCAGAGGAGCAGATGGGGAAGTAGGAGACCTAGGGAGACCAGGACACAGGGCGACCGAATGGCAGAGCCTGGCCTTGGCCACGGCAGACCCCAGCGCTGGGCCAGGAGTGCAGCCACAGCCGCTGGACGCACCGTGAGTGGCAGGGCTGACCCGCAGGGCTGACCCGCAGGGCTGCGAGACTGCCCCAGGTGCTCCCTCCACCTGCCTTCGGTGGGTTGTTCTCTCGGCCCATGTGCCCCACAGAGATGCGCACACACACACACACACGCGCACACACACACACACACACACACGTGCTGTGTTCAAATCCCCAAATGATACTTCCTCAGGGTAGCACTCCCTAATCTTTTCCAGCCCCTCCAAAGCCGCACAGGCCCTCTCTCTGCTTGGAACTGGCGCAGCCCTTCGCCTGCCGTGCCCCCACTCCCCACATTGCACTGCGCACAGTGTGCCCACTACCTCTCCTCAGTTTGCCCTGGCACACGCTGACCGTCACATGCTCTCTGCCAGGCCTCACCCAAGCCCTGGGCACGTGGGGACCAGACCCGTTTCCTGGATCTACTGGAGGACCCATGTGGACCTCGCACTGGCCATAGGTGCATCTCATGGGGCAGTCGGGGTACGCGCTGGGCTTGGGGCAGGCAGCCTGCCTCTGGGAGGCGGAGACGTGTCCTTGTGGGAGAGGAGGTCACGGAGTGGAGAGGCTGGTAGGTGCACAAAAGGCTCGGCAGGGTGCAGCTCCCTCAGTCACTTGCTGGGGTCAAGGAGGAAGTGTGTGTGGGGATGAGAGAACAGTGGCTGGCAGGAGGAGGACAGGGGCCTGGAGAGAGTCGATGGACCAGGTCCACGACACCCCCTCCCCCCATATTATTCTTCTACAGCCCACATGAAGAGTGGGGAGCTCAGTGAGGCTGTGTTAGGTGGGGGGTTGGGGAGACACCACAGAGCCCCCAGGGGCCCGTGAGGCGCCCCAGCTCCCAGCACGAGCTCTCGTGGGCTTCACTTCCCTCAGCCTTGACTTTTGCCTGCAAAGGCCAAAGCTACGCAGGGAGCTGAAAGAGCCTTCAGGACTCGCCCAGGTGTGCCGTAGTCTGTTTGGGCTGCTGGAACCAAGTAGCACAGAAGCTGAGTTCTCACAGCAAGGTCACAGTTGGTGACGGCTCTCTTCAAGGTTGCAGGCAACCAACTTCTGGCTGTGTCCTCACATTCCGTCCTTCTGGAGGCAGAACAGAGCTCTCCTGGTCCCTTTTATAAGAATGCTGACCCTTCCATGAGGGCTCCACCCTCTTGACCTGGTCACCTCCCAAAGGCTCTGCCTCCTAATGCCACCATAGTGGGGCTCAGGGGGTACAAGCATTCAGTCCCTAACAAACCACAAATGACAGAAACTTGGGTCAAGCTGGCTGAAGGGAAAATGTATGCACAGTGGAAGAGAAGCGTGCCCTGTGGTTTCCGCCTCGGGCCCTCAGCCCCACCTCTCTCGCTCCATCTCACTCTGCTTTCCTCTCTGCTCCCTCTTCCTCCCGCCACATGCTGCCCCTCCCAGGAGTGCCCGGCTTAGGTCCTTCAGGTGAAAAGAGCCCAAAAGCACCAACTTGCAAAGTCCCAGGCAGGCCACTCACCCCTGAATCGCCGTCACCCCAGCGGAAGGATGTAGGCGTGCGCCCAAGCCCCATGGGTAGAGATGGGACGGGGGTGGTTTTGGAGCAGACATGGGGCTCTGTTGTCCTCGCAGGTTCCTGGGCAGCAAACAACACCCAGACGCTCCCACCCCAGATCCACGTGTCCCCGGGCCACGGGCTTGGCACGACTTTGGTCCCTCATCACTCGGTAGCGCCCCTAGGTCATAATGCCAGCAGAAATGTCTTTCCCATATGTAACTTCTGCTCTCTCTTCCTCTCTCTCTCTCTCTCCCCCCCTCATTTTCCAGGGGCCACTGGGTCTGGATGGAAAGCCAGTAAGTGACGGCAGGGCAGTTCGAGGTGGTCCTGGGATGGGGCTATCGCTGTGGGGTTGGGAGCAACCCTGGGGTGCTGAGAACTTGGCTCAAAGAGAGGCCATGTGGTTGTCAGACTTCAGTTCAAATCCAGCTCCACGACCTGCTGACTGCATGACCTCGGGGAGGCCTCTTTGCCTCCCGAAGCCTGGGACTTCTCACCTGTTAAAGAGGCTCAAGGATGCTGGGCCTGCGCAGAGCTGGGGACAGCACTGTCCCTGGCACCTAGTCAGCCTTCAAAACATACAAGGCCCCCACAGCAGGCCCCAGGTACAGAGTGTCCCCCAGACAGTCTGAAACTACATCGGGCTAAAGGACTCTCAACAACCAGATCAGGAGTCTATGGCCCACGGGCATCCTCAACAGACCTAATAAGATGCACAGGAGATGGCATGTTAAGCAAATAGTCAGATGGATGGATGGATGGATGGATGGGCAATGGATGGAAAGAAGGAAGGAAGGAAGGCAGGCAGGCTAGCGGACTGGCTGGATGGGTAGATGAATGGTTGGAAGGATGGATGGATAGATGGATGGATGGATGGATGGATGGATGGATGGACTGAAGGAAGGAAATAATGAATCAATAATTGTACAAACAATTGGATGCATGGAGGAACAGGTGAGCTAGTGGGTGGATAAATACCATATTTTGCCGTGTATTAATGCACACTCTTTTGCCCAAAGTTTTGAGGGGAAAATGAGGATGCTCATTGTACATGGGTAGTACTAATTCCATATCTACATAAATGTTTTCAGTTCTTTTATTTATGTGCATGCATAAAAGTGTAACTCTGAAAAGCAATAATGGTACCCATAGCAAAATAGTACCTTGGAATACGATCATTGGTTTTGTTTCTAAATGTAAGTAAATAAATGATTGCATTAAAAATTAAAACAAAATATTTTTCCCCTGAAAATGTGGGCCAAAAACGTGGGTGTGCATTATACCCAGTAAAATACAGTCCCAGTCCGTGATGGCCAAACAGACGAGTCGGTGAATAGCAGCTGGCTGAGGCCCGTGAGGAGGGGCACATCAGTTAAGGGCAAAGGACAGAACAGATGGACCAGTTGCTGAATGAATGAACAGCAAACCCACTGCTGGCTGAAGAGGAAATGGGCGGTTCTGGGAGGGATGGAGGCCAGTGAGTGCCGGCCCCACCCCCGGGGACGCCGAGCCCCACAGTGGGCCTTGTGGCTTGACCTTCTTCCCCAGAAGGCCTGGTAACTTGGCAGGACTGAGAGAAAACCACTTCCTTGCAGGCAGAGAGTGAGGGCAGCCACCCCCTCTCACACACCCAGACCACAGGGGCAGCGACCTCCTGACAGGCGCCCAGCATAGCAGCTGCCCAGCAGGGAGGGCCCTGCTCTGGGCGGGGGAGGGGGGGGGTCAGTGATCAGCATTGGCGCCTCTGTCCAAAGAGGATGCCAGGGACCCCCCCGCCCCCCGCCCGTGTCCCTCATGCTGAGGAATGAGGCATGCCGCTTCCTTGGGGTGAGCACGGGCAGCCTCCTTAAGGGCTGACAAGCTCGTGTACTTCCCACTCGGCTCCCCGCAGCTCTGCTCAGCCACACGGCCGCTTCTCCCGCACAGTCTTAGCAGGAGGCTGGCCTGGTCCTCCTCATTCACACTCCTCCTTTCTCCACCTTCCTTCTCCAGGGACTTCCAGGCCCCAAGGGCGAAAAGGTAAGTGACACCAGAGGCTGAGGGAGGATGCCAGACACCTGCCTCCAAACCCCAGTCCCGCAGTGTGACCATGGGCATGCCACATCCCCTCCTGGAGCCTCAGTTTCCCCATCTGTAAAGTGGGGCACGTGGTGCCCACCTTCCATAACAGTTACCAGGCTCACATTTGACAACGTGAAGTGCCCAGAGGGCTGAATCTGACTTCTCCTGACACTGGCGTGTAGCAAAACTCAAAGCCGTCTGCCCAGAATGGTGAATTTCCCACTTCTGAAGCAGGGGCAACCCCAGGACCGCCTGGGGGTTGAGCAATGATGTGGGTGGCGTTCTGTGGGGGGAGGACAACCCCACCAGGAGAAGAGGCAGATCCTCACGGCCCCTCACTCTTACGAGAAGGGCTTCCTGGCACTTGATGTTAAAGTTGGAGCCACAGCCCGAAGGGGCTGGGACCTCGGTGCCTCGTGAGGGAGCAGGAGAGAGGGAGTGTGTGCCCCGTACTGGGATCGGGGTGGTGAGGGGGTGGGGCCGGCCTAGGTGTGGCAAGGCTGACTGGGTGCTTGCAGGGAACAGCCAGGCATGGCTGAGCCACACCCACACCCCAGTCCCTCTGGGGGTCACTTAGGCACAGGCGGCCAGCATCCAGTCCACCATCAGCGCTGAGCCTCGGGTTTGCGTTCCATCTCTATCACCAACTGAGTGACTTTGGGCAAGTCGCCCAGCGCTATAGGCCTCAGCTTCTCCACCGGTCAGTGTCCACCAGCCTCTCGGAGCCGTGGGAACACTGCCGCGGGTAGTGGTCTGAGGGTTTTTGTAGACTACGAGACCCTCCGGCCGATGGCACATGAGCTGACTGCCCTCCCAGAGGCTCTGCTGTTGCCAGAAAGTCATAGAAACAATCAAGGCAGGGACTTTGAAACCAAAGAGAAATTGGTGTCTTGGCGCCAAACTTGGAGACTTAAAACAACTAGTCAAGTAATTATCATCTCTGACGATTTTGCAGATCAGGTTCCCAAGGGGGCACAGTGGGAGTGGCTTGTCTCTGCTCCACTGTCTGGGGCGGGGCCAGGGAGAAATAACAGGCCACCTGGTTCCAAGCCTGGAATGCCCTTGCTATGTGACTTTGGCAGATCACTCAGCCTCTCTGCGCCTTCATTTCTTCTTTGGAAATGGAGAGGAAGTAGAGCCTGCGTGTGGCTTTGGGCAACACGGCTGAGACGCTCCACGTGCTGGGCCCAGTGCGCGGTAAGTAATGCAAGAACGCGGCAGTGACCTGTTTCCCTGGTTTCTGTTCCCAGGGTGCACCAGGAGACTTTGGCCCTCGGGTAAGAATGGAGCTCGACCCCTCGCCCACCTACACGGTTTGTTTTCCATTCTAATAAAGCACACCCTGTACTTCTTGCTGAAGGCGGTCAGTGAGTGGTCGGCCAGTCGGCCACTGAGCACCCACTTGCCTCCCTCCCATGGCCTGTCCCACTGCAAGGCCTCCCGGAAACGCCCTGGGTAGGATTCCCAGGCACCTTACCTGGCACAGACATCCCGCCACGCTCATCACCGTGGGTGGGCGGACCGTGGGGCTGGCATGGTCCCAGACCAAAGACGGACCTTCCTGAGGCAGTGGCACCCCAGGAAGAGGGGAGACTCTAGGATCAGCAGTCCTGAGCCCAAGCTGAGCTCTGCCGCTTACCAGCCGAATGACCCTAAGCGAGTCACTCTTCCCTCCAAGATGCAGTTCCTCCAACTGTGAGTGGGGCGACAACCCCATCCAAAGCCACTGAGGTGAAGACTTGTTTCAATCATAAAAGTGGGCACCCAGCACCCCACATGGGAACAAGAGATGGGGCCACAACCAGACCACTTGGTCCTCCGTGCCCCCTGGGCCCCAGGGTCTCCTCAACACAGCTGAAGCAGAGTGGAGACCCCCTCAGCAGGATGGGCCCTATCAAAGCAGGTCTCAGCAGAGGGTCACCCAAGGGGCCCTCTCCACCTCTGCCACAGCCTGAGTGGGCAGCCACAGCGGCCAGACGGGGCAGAGGAGTGGCGATCCCCCCATTGTTTTTAAGAAGGTTGTGGGGTGGAAATTGTAGCCAGTGGCAGGTCACCTGCAAAACGCAGCTGTAGCTGCCAAGGCTGGAGGTGGGACCAGAGCGGAGGGTAAGGGGAACAAGGGGAGGGGCAGCATGCAGACAGCGGGGCTGGGTCCTTGTCCCAGCTCTGCAGCCTCACAACTCCGAGCCTGGTTTGGGCAATGAGGCTGGCTCTGAGCCCAGAGCGGGGATGAAGGCTGGCCAGGCTGTTTCCCTAGACACCCAGCTGCCCTGTGCTGGGCCTTTGATAAGAGGCCAAGGCTGGGGCCACTCGAAGCTGGGGAGATGTCCCTGCCATCAAAGGAAGGGCGCCACTGTGTTTGGCGTTGAGTTTGGTGGCCGTTCACTCTCTGCTGCATGTAGGGGCTGCTCCTGCCAGCAGCCATGCCCGCTCCCCACAGACGGGAATGCCCCCAGCACCCCCCTCTTCCTGCATAAACAACCTCCGGGAGGAGAGACAGCCTCCATGCCTGCAAGTGACTTGCACAATGTGTCACTTCCCTCACGGCCCTCTGGGTTGGCTGGGTCTCCTGTTGCAGGCAGGGGCAGTGGGTCTGGCAGGCCACAGTGAGGGCCCTCACGTGGCCACGTGGACAGGGCTGCTGGCTGGGGCTGGCTTCCAGGAACAGCGTCTCAAGAGGCAGGAAGCCAGGACTGCCAGGCCTGTTAAGAACTGTGTGCAGAATGGACACAGCATCACTGCCCCTGCATTCGAGGGGTCACATCTGTCATAGGGCTCACCCAGGCTCGGGGGGACAGGAAGAAAGAGACCCCAGCTCTCGATGGGGAGTGACGAGATCACGCTGCCAAGGGCCCTGTGGGGCGGGAGGAGCACAGTGGCCTCCGTGGACAATGCGGTCAGCCCCTCCCTGTCACAAGCACCTTTGCATGGGCCAGAGTACATGGCTTTGCCCCCGGAAGTAGCCTTGTGGTCTTGTCCATCACCCCCCTACCTTTCTGACCACACGACCTATCTGCTGCAGATGGTTTTCCCACGGCTCCTCCCGGGCTTTGTCAGTAGAGACCATCACTTGTACAATCGCCGCATCCTCAAGGTAGACTGGCCGAGTGGTGTGTCTGAGCCTGCTCATTTGCCTGGCATGTCCCCCTCAACTCCTCACATTCCCAGGGTCAGCCCTCAGCTGACCAATCCCAGACTGAGGAGGAGGCAGTGGGCCCCCCTTGTTGCTAGAGGAACTCAGGGGAGGAGCCTAAGACCCTCTCTGGGACCTGTGCAGGGGTCTAAGCCCATTTGCTGCCTGGAGAACTGGGCCTGTGGTTCCCAGCCTGGGCCCTGAGCCTCGAAAAGAGCAACAGGGGACAGGGGGTCTCCCAATTCTCCCTACTACAGCGTGAAATAAACCAGGAATGGCCCCCCACCAGCAGCACCTGCAGCTGGGGGACCCAACCAAACCCTGTGCTCTTCACCTTGGCCTGGAGTTCTGTCCCCTTGGTCAGGGCCTGGCCGTGTGGTGGATGGTGAGGGCTGCTGTCCCCTTCCTTATCGGGACAGCAAGTAAGCTTGGTGTCGGGCGAGGTGGGCCAGAGGGGTGAGCTCTTTCGTATCTGGGGCCCAGGGATAAACACAGTGACTGAAAGAGATCACGTGCCCCAGTGGCCTTTCCAGCTCTGGTTAAAGGACTACCCTCTGTGACGCTGGCCACACCCTCTGTAAAATGGGACCAGAGCAGTGCCCTGGCCAGAGGGTCACAGGAGTGGGTGAGATACCCCCAGGGTGTCCTGGAGCATCTTCTCGGGGCACGGAGCAGGGCCCACTCCCCACAAAGCCTGGGTGCAGGAAGGTTGGGCACTGCCAGCCCTGTGAGCGGGCAGGCCCCATTGCTGTGTGGGCACCACTGGGACAGCAAGAAGTGTTCATGGCACTGTGGTCTTCTCTCCTTGCTGGGGGACATCACAAGGTGAGGGCCCTGGCGGCCTGAGGTCTGACCCGATACTAACATCGGCCCAAGAACTGGGGGGTTGGGGCTGCATGAGGGAGACTGTGTGGCCCCTGACACCTCTCTGTTGTTGTTGAGATAACTGTAAATTCACATGCAGTTGTAACACATGATACTCATCTCCAGTTCCACTCCTACGGTGACTCTTGCAGCGCCCAGTACAACCTCCTCCCCAGGAAACGGACACCATCCAGCAGCCTCACTCAGAACCCCCCACCCTGCCCACACGTGTGCTCGCTCCTGTGCCTTTTTACCGCTGTCGCGGCCGCGTGCAACCATCACACCCAGGTCCTCACAAGGTCCCCTCCCGCCCCGCCCCCATGCCTGAGCCCTGGCAGCCACTAATCTGTGCTCCCTCTCCTTAACGTTGCCATTTCAAGAACGTTATGTCGATGCAATCCCATCATCCATAAGCTTTTGAGATTGGCTTTCTCCCAGTGCGTCATCACCATGAGATATGCACACATGGCTTCCTGTCGGCACTGCAATCCGGTCTGCTCACTGCGCGGAGCGGTGTTCCGTGCACACGGGCCCCAGGTGGTTGATCGCTCGCCACAGGAGGACATGTGTGTTGTTTCCAGTTTGGGGCTTTAGTGAATGAGGCTGCTGTGAACATTCATGTACAGGCTTCTGTGTGAATGTGAGTTTTCATTTCTCTGGACCAAATGCCAAGGGTGCGCCTCTGTCACCCAGTGAAGCAGGAGTGGACCCACCAGGAGGCGTGCTGCTCCCTTTCTGGGAGGAAGGGGGCCGGGGCAGGCACGTGTGCCTTCTCTCGCACCCAGCGTGTGTGATCTGTCACCTAAGCTCTGTAGAGGAGCAGATGGCATGTTCCTTAGAGTGTAAAAGGTCCTGCTGGCCTCTTACGCTGAGATATAGGAACCTATCCCTTCGTGTGGCCACCAAAAAGTGGCAAGAGGCCCAATAACAAAGCCCCTGAGGTGGCTGAGGGCTGGGAAAGGGGAGGCATGGGACTGCCCATACAGGGGCCTCTCCGAAGACCAGAGCCCCTCCCCCTCCCCTCCCCCTCCCCCTCTCCCTCAGGGTCATGTCAGGCCTCATCTCTTTCAGGGAGACCGCGGGCAAGATGGAACTGCTGGGCCTCCAGGGCCTCCAGGGCCCCCTGGACCGCCTGGGGCTCGGGGCCCTCCTGGTGACACTGGGAAAGATGGCCCCAGGGGAGTACCAGGCCCAGTGGTAAGCAGACATGGAGCTGGACCACCCAGAACCTGGTCCTGCACCTACTGGAACCCCAAACTCTGATCCCCAAACCAACCCCACCCCCAGCCCTGTCCCCGGTTCAGACTCGAACCCTACCCTAACTGCACCTCCAACCCAGACCCTTAAACCAAAACTAACTGGGTGCCTAGATCCAATTAAGACCTTGACCCCAAACTCATTCCCAAATCCTGGCCCACCCCCCATTCAGATGACCATGCAGACCCTAACTCTCCCCCGATAGACTCGACCCTGATTGCAGATCCAACTCTCACCCCTCCACGCTAACTCCAAGTAGACCCACAGACCCTGACTCTGTCCTTGGCTGTGACCTCCGTCCAGTCCTGAGCCTGACCCTGAGCCTGACCCTGACCCACATGTGTAGGCTCTTTCTCTGCAGATCTTTACCAACCCTTATTTCTTTCCGCTCCCTTTCTCTCCCCTCCCCAGTGCCAACTAGTCAGCCCCAGTCATCCTCCCCAGTACCAAATAGCCCCAGTCGTCCTCCCCAGTATTAACTAGTTAGCCCCAGTTGTCCTCCCTGGTACTAACTAGCCGGCCTTGTTCATCCTTTCCAGTACTAACTAGCTGGCCTTAGTCGTCCTCTCCAGTACTAACTAGTCAGTCCCAGTCATCCTCCCCAGTACTAACTAGTTAGCCCCAGTTGTCCTCCCTGGTACTAACTAGTCAGTCCCAGTCATCCTCCCCAGTACTAACTGGCCAGCCTTGGTCATCCTCTCCAGTACTAACTAGCCAGCCCCAGTCGCCCTCCCCAGCACTAACGAGCCGGCCGCGGCCATCCTCCCCTGGTCCTCACCAAACCCCGAAGGCCAGAGCTCGAGTACTGCCGCTTCCCCTAGCCCAGGGACTCCAGCTGGGCCTTCCCCACTGATGTGAAGCCGGCATCTCCACCAAACAGCACCAGGGTCCCCCCTCAGGGCAGCTACTCGTGGCTCACCCACGCCTTGTCCCATTAGGCATGTCACTCCCTGAGCCCCAACTTCCTCGCCTGTGATGAGAGGACAGGGTCTGGTGAGGCTGATGGAAGCAGATGTGCTTGGGGCTCAGCCCCGGGTCTGACAGGTACTGTGGGCTCAGGCGGCCGTGAGGCCCCTGCGTCCCCTCATTGTCCTCTCTGTGTGTCCTCAGGGTCCCAAGGGAGAGGCTGGACGAGATGGCGAGCCGGTCAGTACCCAGAGCGCTCCAGAGGCCTGAGCGGGCAGGACCGTGGTTCCAGCCCGGAAGCCCCTCTTCCACACACACACAAGCAGGTTGCATGTGTAGCTGTGTGTGTGCACACACCAGCAACAGTCGGGGAGCGGGGGACAGCGGGGTTCCAGCCCCAGCAGGATGCTCACAGCCCTGCATCCCTGGGAGGGAGCCTGCAACCCAGTTGTCACTGCCTGGGATCTGATGAGCAGCTGTCCACAGCAGCGGGCCTGGAACAGGCCAGTCCCAGCTGCAGTCCTGCCTCCTCCTCCCTGGGCCTTGGTGTTGCCCTTTGTAAGGGGAGGGTGATAAGGACAAACAGGAGCAACCTCCAGGATCACCTGTAATAATACCTTCTCTTCTCTTGTTCCAGGGCCCAAAGGGACCTCCGGGGCCCAAGGCAAGTGCTCCTCAATCCCTATTCCCACCTCACCCCCGAAGCCCAGGCAGCAGGGTTGGGAGACCGAGTTCTGTGACCATGGGGAAGTTACTGCATCTCCCTGGGCCTTGGTTTACTCACCTGTTAAACGGGTGGATGATAAAACTTTCCTGCCTAACCGTCACACCAGGTTGTGAGGATCTTTTTTTTTTATTTTATCCTTACCTGAGAACATGCTTATTGATTCTTAAAAACAGGGGAAGGGAGGGAGATAGAGAAAAAAATATCAGCACTCCAACCAACTGAGCCACACCAGCCAGGGCAAGCAGGTTAGCTTTTAAAGCCCTCTCCAGACATGAGCTCTTCCCACCTCCTTGAGCGCCACCTGCTGGGTGGGGGAGGCAGGCTCTGGTCCTCCCTGAAGGAGCTGGAGTTCGGACTGAGCAGGCGGAAAGGGCAGGGGAGAGCTCCACTTAACACCTGCTGCGAGCCGGGGCTTTCACGCGGCCTCTCCAGTCTCGTTTGGGAACCTCTGAAGCCTTCTGAGGCTGGAGTGTCATATTCCGCTTTCAAGAGCAGTGACTTGCCTGAGGTCATTCAGCTTGGAAGGGACCTGGTTGGGAGTGGAGTCCAAGACTGTCCGCCCCACCTCTGAGGGGCTGGGGACTCTGGGCTGTGGGGGGCATGGTCACGGGGCCACTTCTCCAGAGCGGCAGGCAGCTCACAGGCTCTGACCCGTCTCTCGCACTCCCACTGTCTCCCCTCAGGGCGAGCCCGGCGTTCCTGGAAGGAAGGTGAGGGGGCCTGTGGAGGGGCTTCTCAGCAGGGGCGGGGTAAGCGGCTGAGGGAAGGGCAGGGGCTGGGCCCGGGGCAGAAATGGGGGCCGCCCACCGGGAAGGCGTCCTGCTCCTTGGCAGACCTGAGTCCTCACTGTGGGCACGTCTCTGGAGCCAGGATCTCACCGCTCCTTCGCTCACTCTTCCCCTTCCTCAAACACGTCAAATGTGTTCCCACTTCGGGGTCCAGCACAGTGGCTCTTAAAGTGTGGTCGCCAGACCAGCGTGTCCACATCAGGGGGGCTTGTTAGACAAGCATGTTTGGGGCCCACCCCAGACCCACCGAAACAGATGCTGGGGTGGGCTGTCCGTGGTGAGGCCGATGCGCACCCACGTCTGGGAACCACTGACCCAGGGTGGCCGCCTCCTACCTCTTCCCACGGCTGGGACTGCCCTCCTCCCACAGGCCTCAGCACAGCTCCTCTCCTCTGGGAGACGGTCCCCGGCCACCCACTGAGGCACGTCCCCCTTCCCCCGCCCCCCCATATTCTCTGCCTGGTACTTCCGTCTCCCGGCAAGGGGCCATGCGTCTCTCCGGATATTCCTTCGCCCTTGGCATCCTCTGGCCCATCCAGCAGGGACCTCACCTACCTGCCTGCAGAAGGTGCTCACGAGACCATTGTTGACTGAAGGATGGATTCCCTCTCTTCCCCCTGCCCATCCATACCCTCTGCACACACCTACCTCTCCTCCACCTGCCCATCCGTTCTTTCTGCACACACCTGCTGAGGCTCGTTCTAGCTGGCCCGGGGCAAGTGGGCACAAGCGACAGAAGTGGATCTGACCCACCCCTTTCCTAGAGGGATGAGGAGGGGAGGAGATGCTGCCCGTCCCAGTGTGCCCGCTGCTGGTGCCAGGAGTGGACAGCTGTGCCAGGGAGTCCAGAGGGGGTGGCCTGGCCACCAGAGTGTCCAGGTCTGAGAACTGCAGCCTCCACTCTCCTCTCCTCAGGGGGACGATGGAATGCCAAGCCCACCAGGGCTACCTGGACCCCCGGGGCCCAAGGTAGGGGCCTGTGCCTCCCCTGAGCTCCTCCCTCCTCCCGCCTCCTGCCCGAGGAAGCACCCCCTCCTGGCCCTTTCACCTGGTGGGCGGTATGGGGCGTGGGCTGACGCCCAGGGCAGGCCAGACAGGCACCAGGAAGGCCCTGGGTCCCCCTCGTCAACAGGCCTGGCACCTCACACAGGCCACCTGTCCTCTCAAGTCCTCTGGTGCCCAACTTAGGTGGCCCCCCCGCCATGCCCTGTCCCCAGGCCAGGAACTGGTGTCATCCTGGCTCCCCCAACCCCATGGGACAGCCACCAAATCCCAGCCAGCCTGCCTCCAAAATGTCTCTTGAGCCCCTGAGCTGCCCCAACTCTGCATCGAGACTCAGCGGGAAGGTGGCCATGGCCCCCAGTCCCCTGGGCAGGGAGAGAGAGCCCCAAGTTCCCTCTCCAGTGGGTGGTTCAGCCATGCTCCACCGCACTGGCTGCAGAAGCCAGAGGCCTGGTGGCCCCTTACCCGCTCTGCTGCCTGCTCTCACGGGGACTGTCTCTGCTGCAGGGCGAGCCAGGGAGCGTGGGGCCGCCGGGAGAGAGCGGCGTGGACGGGGCCCCAGGGCCCAAGGTGACTTCCGGCACTCGGCTTCAGCTTCTGCAGGCCCCATTCAGAGCAGCACCCTATCACCGGGAGGCGATGGGGTTTCACCTCCAGCCTGACTTTTGCAGTTGGGAGTCCCTGGAGGGCCTGGGTCCCCGGGGCTGGGGTCTCAGTCTCATTGGACTGGCCATCAGAGACTGGCCCGCGGGGCATGGGGGACGTTGGGTCTGAGTGACCTACTCGACTAAGTGGCCATGTAGCCTGGGGCTCCTGGGCCTCGGTGGCCTCTCGCTACTCCACACGGGGTCAGAGGAGGGTTCCTGGGTCCCTCCCTCCAGGACCCTCCTCACTGGGGTGCTAATTGCATTTGTGAGACCCTGTACCCTTTGGGGAGGAGGGGACCGGGGTGGGGGGAGGGAGGGCAGGACTTCGGCTCGTCTGCTCACACCTGGCTGCAACCTCGTGTCTCCGCAGGGGGAGCCTGGCCAGCGAGGAGCCGAGGGAGCCACGGGGCTGCGGGTGAGCCCCCCTCCAGCCGCCTGCACGGGGCCCAGGGCGGTGCCTTCCTCCTGTCCACACAGTCCCCCGAGGGCAGTGAGGCTCCAGGAACTGGGGCCTTTTTAAAAAATAACTCATTAGTGATGTTTTCATTTTTATTTTTTTAATTTATTGATTTTGGAGAGAGAGAGGAACATCGATTTGTTGTTCCACTTACTTATGCACTCACTGGTTGCTGCGTGTGGGGGCCCTGCCCGGGGCCTGAACCGCAGCCACGGTGCAACAGGACGACAGTCCAACCAGCAGAGCCGGCCAGCCAGGGCCTCGGACACATTTTTTTCATTTCTAGTCTCATAATCCATGCTTTTGGTAAAATGCTTGAGTACGGGTGTGTAAAAACAGGGGTCTGACCCCCTCCCTCGCCCCTCTCTCCGAGCGAGTGTCTGCCCCGCGAGGCTCCCTCCCGACATGTGCAGACACAGGCCTCGATTATCGCACGTGGTGTCAACGCTGTGCCTGCTGAGGGGACCTGGCCTTTCTCCCAGGTCCCACTGAGGCTCGTTCCTGGCAGCAGGAGCACAGCCCCTCCAGCTGGCCCCGAGGCCCCAGACCTTCTGTGAGCAGCCTTCATCAGCCCACCTGGAGGCTGACATCCCAGATCAGGGTCTCGGCTCTGTGGCATCTTGCAATCACATCCCCTCATGCTCCCGGAGGCTGGTTACCTCCTCTGAAAACCTGGTCTCAGCCCACAGCCTGGACTTGCAGGTGGCCGGGGATTGGAAGAAACGCCAAGTGTGGGAATTTAGTGTAAACTGCAGTTTCATGAAGGTCATGACAGTGAAGGCAGCTGGCAGGGAGGCCTGGCCTGGCCGCAGGCCTGAAGCAAAGTGCTCCTGGCCCTCACTGTTCTCAGAGCAGAGAGGTGCCCACTCGGGGAGGGGCGGGCAGGGGCTGGGACAGGGCCAGCAGCCGTGTGCTCACCTGTGTGGGGACATGGGCAGGTGTGGGCATGTGCGGGCGCGTGCAGTCGCACATGCCCATGGCCGCGTGCATGGGCGTGCGTGTGCTCCTACCAGGAACAAGTGGGCGTGTGTGCATGGTTTGTGAGGCCTCTGCCAGCGGTTGGAAACCAAGGCAGAGGCGTACACAGTGTCTTGGAGGGTTTCGGTGTCTTTGTGTTTGTTTGTCAACATTTAAAAATATGAAGAACATCACATCAAAATCAGGCTTCCTGCTTTCCCTCGAGAATTCAAGGATGAGGCCTCTGGGGGCCTCGGTTCCCTCAGGAAAGCCATTACTGCCACCCCCAGTTTAGGCGGGGCGTGTTCCTCAGTTGGCCCCAGTCCCACCTTCCATCCTTGTGCCCCTGCCTGGCTCCTACAGCCTTTTGTCGCTGAGCCCGGGTGCCAGTGCAGAGTGAACACCAGGGCTCCAGACCTGAGGACCAGCCATGCTGGGCCTACCAGGTTACAGCCGAGCCGGTGCCGGGGACCTGTGTGGCCCCGATACCGGGTTCTCTGGGTGAGAGACAAAGATGACTACCACTTCAGCTCCTCCCAAAACCTTCCTCTTCGTCCCGCCTCAGGGTCCCCCGGGCTTCAAGGGCGAGCAAGGAGACACAGTGGTGATTGACTACGACGGCAAGATCTTGGATGCCCTTAAGGTAACGCTCCTGGCGGACGGGATGGGCCCTGCTGCTCATTTCCTGAGGAAGTAGTCACCTGCTCTGTGTGTTGATCCGCACTTGGTACACAAGGGACCGGAGGCAGCTGAGCACAAAGACCCAGCCTCACTGGGTGCTGTGTTGAGACCACACACGATGCTGGGAGAGCCACTGTGAACGTGGCTCGGGTGGGCCTGAGCTCCCCAGAGCGAAAGGGGCAGCAGGCAGAGCATTTCCTGGTGTGCAGCCGCAGCAGGGCCTCCTGGGGCCTTCCCAGGAACTCCGTCTGCAGGGCTAGGTCTCCTGAGGACCTCAGCAGGGGTGGGATGGGCAGGGGGAGGGAGGGTAGCAAGGCCTGCCCCAGAGCCTCCAAAGATGGGTGGCCTCTGCACCCTGCCCAGCAAACTGGGGACCCATAACCAGTTTCGGAGAGGTGGGGTGCCCGGGAAGAGAGCTGGGATGAGTGAGGGACAGCCACCAGAGACCAGACTGGATGGCAGCACCTGGCCCCACCCGAGCTTCAATTCCAGTTATTTCCCACAGGCCTCAGAGAAGCACAAGCTGGTGGTAACTGCGGCCACCCAGGCCTGCATGGTGTGGTGTGGTGTGCCGTGGCCCGAGGGCCTGTGTGTGCACGGTGTGCCCTGGGGTGGGGGGGGGGGCGGGAGCGGGAGCCCCTGGGAGGAGCTCGACGAGTCCAGGAGGTGGGCAGTGAATTCTGGGTGCCAGGCTGGAAGGGTGACTCCACCGGGCGGGCAGCAGGCAACCCCAGCTGGTTCTTGAGCAGAGGGGCCATGGGGTGGAAGGCAAGCAAAAGTGGGCAGGCCACTGGGAAGGCCGGCACTAAGTGTGGGCCAGCAGGAGAGTGGGTGGAATGAAGGGACAGAGTCAAACGGGGACCTTTCAATGGGAACACCAACAGGAAGGGAGCGGGTTGTGGGGAGGTGGAGGGGCAAGGACTTCGACTTTTGGGGCTGAGGGGCTGGACAGAGTGCGACTTTTGGGATGGGACCTGAGTTTGGGGGGTGCCGATGTGCGGTGGTGAGCAGGCAGCCTCTGGAAGCCTGGATGGAGACAGCAGCTTGGGAGCGGGGTCAGACCAGAGCCCGAAGATGCCATCCCCTGCTTGTGTGGCCCGGGAGCTCCCCAGGGCCAGGAGGCTGCAGGCCGCAGGGCTGATGGTCAGAGGGGTCACAGAGAAGTAGAGAAGGCAGCGCTGGGCCATTGCGGGGACACACCCTGGGGCTAGCACTGCATGCCCGCTTCAAGAGGCAACAGGGAGCCACCGCAGGATCCAGCGGGGGCCGTGAGGTGAAGAAATCCAGATTTGGGGAATCCGGTGCTGAGGGCAGAGGGGTTTCTGGGCTCTCCATGGCAGTGGACACTGTGTGCTTGCCTGACACCTGGTGCCTTCCCCCAGGACCCCCTGGAGACAGGGGCCTGACCTGGCTGCCTGGGAATGGGGCTGCCTAAGGGCCCCTGGCCCTGCTGCAGCCCAGCTAAATGGGGCATGGCCTGCAGGGCAGAAGGGGTGGGCTGGCAGTGAGGGGCAGGCCCAGCCTACGCACTGACTGGCTTGACTTTCGCACACAGGGTCCTCCCGGGCCCCCAGGGCCACCAGGGATCCCCGGAGCCAAGGTCAGTGCACATGTGGCTATGTGGCCCCTCAAGCCCATTGTTCCCTGAGCCCACCTCCCCTCTGCCATGCCCCCTCTGCTTGTCTGCCTATGTCCTGGCTTCTGGGGGCTCTGAGAAAGGAGCCTGCTACTTCCTCACCAAGCAGGGCGCCTTCTTCCCAGCCCCAGCGACACTGTGCCCTGGGAAGCTGGATTCACACACGGAAACCCATAAATCAGCCCCTAATGACATCACAAAACCCTCAGATGACATGGCTGTTTCCGTGGCCTGTGTTCATCATTGCACTCTGCCTACCAGGCTCAGGAGAAGGAACCCAGGACTGCGAAATCAGACAGGGTCTGGACCCACCCTTGTCCCTGGGTTGTGTGTCTGGGTCCAAGTCACTTAACCCTCTGAGCCTCAGATTCCATAATGCGACCTACCAGCCTGTAGATGACAGCCCTCGGCACTGTGGGGGCAGAGGATGTGGGGGAGAGGAGATGGCGGGCTCCCGGCACGGAGCCGGGCGCACAGTGGGCACCATGCTGGAGGTCTAACTGCAGGGACCCGATCAGGAATGGGACGCCAGTTGGGGGCAGCCCAGCCACAGGCCCCTTTCAGGGGCCGCGGGACACCGTCTTGACCCCTCTCGCTCTCTGCTCCCTTGCAGGGCGAGCTCGGACTGCCGGGTGCCCCCGGGATTGACGGAGAAAAGGTCTCTGAGCCTGTCACTCCTTTGGTGTTGCTGGTGCCAGGGGTCATGCTGTGTGTGTGTGTGAGCACGTGCGTACATGTGTGAGTGTGTCCACACTTGGAGACGACGTGTGCCACCGTGTGCGAATCCTGGTTCTGCCGTAGGCCTTGGGCAAGCAGCTCCCCCTCGGGCAGCCGGGGGTCCTCACCCATGGGGAGGGCGCCCTGAGGGTTAGACCACAGGGTGTGGGAAACTCTCGGCGCAGAGCCGGGTGTCTCGTAGCAGAGTCCTCGAACATCAGCGAGCGCGTCGCTGTCAGCACATAAATGTGCACACGGGTGATCCCCGTAGACACCAGTGTCCGGGGTGTCGCCTGACATTTGTGGGCGTGTCTTCAGTGCTGAGCCCCTCGTGTGTGGCTCATCGTGGACATTCCGCATTGGTTGAGGGAGGGAATCAGTGGCCAGAATCCGTGGCCAGAAGGTGACTGTGTGGATAGCTGGTTGGTTGTAGAAGTTGGGGACTCTCGTCACTGGCTTCTGAGAGGTGAGCACGCAGTTGACCCTGAGCCTGACAAGCACCCCCTTGTGGCCCCTGGTGGCTGCCTGGTCCCACTTGCTGCACTGCCTCCACCCCCACCCCACCAGGGACCCCTGTGTGCAGTGAGGCAGGTGGGGGGTGCCCCCTCCCTGCCTCTGTCCAGGCCCTTTAGTGCATTTGCCACCTGGGCTGGAGGCGGGAACCCACAACAAGGAAGCAGGGGGCCTGGCCTGGCCTGAATGACACTCTGGGGACCTGCCAGAGTAGGGAAGGGAGATGCTTGCTGAGCCCCACTGACCCCTTGTTCATGTGGCTTCCAGGGTCCCAAAGGACAAAAAGGAGACCCAGGAGAGGTGGGGCCAGCCGGACCCAAAGGGGAAGCAGGCGAGATGGGCCTGCCTGGCCTCCCGGTAAGTGGCCGGTGCACCTAACCCCCCTACCCATCCCCTGCGGGGTCTCCAAGCAGATGTGCCTGCTGGCAGCTGGGGCCCTGCACCACGGTCCAGCCCAGGGCCGCGGCAGGGAGCCCTGGCGCTCAGCCCTCACTGCTCAGAGTCTCCGAGTCCCCTTCCCTCAGCTGTAGGGGGACCTACCGCCTCCCGAGGCCCTGCGTGGTAGGCGTGAGTTGGTGGTTAGGTGGTGCTCTGGCCACCCGAGTTTGCATCCTGCTTCCTTTCTCACTGACTGGAACCCTGCACAAGCTACCGAGCCCCCGTGGGCCTCAGTTTCCCCACCTCTAAAATGGGGGTTGCATGCTCCTGCACCCACGAGGGAGCACATAGGCAGGCGGTCTGAGAGTGGTGGCCGACGTGTGGTAAAGCCTGCCGTCACCGGCACCGGCATTGGCATTTTAGCTGTCAGTCTTGGCGGGGATGGACTGGAATAGCTGACAGGCTAAGCAGCCACCAGGTGCCACCAGTTCACGCCCACTGCCCACCCATAAGACCAGTCAGCTGGAGAGAGAGTGTGGGTTGGCAGGAGCTCCCACAGCCCCCGGGGCCCTCCTGCCCCACAGGAGAACCTCGGTGTATGTGGCTGACCCTGTGCTTTCTAAATGCCCCCTGATCCAGGGGAGATATTTTAAGCTGCAAAGGCCAACCTAGCAGGTGTCTGCCCCAGAAGCCCTGTATCGGGAGGGAAGAGGAGGTGCTAACCCCTGTGGGTGGCGATCCTGGTGACAGAGAGGAAGGTCTCAAGGCCATCCTGTCCCACAGGGTGCCCACGGCCCCAAGGGGCAGAAGGGAGAGCCAGCATCTGACAAGCTACCCGAGAGCCTGGTAAGGGGGTGGCTGAGGCCAGCTGGGGCCCCGAGCCTTGGGACAGCAGGGCCACCTGACCTGACCAAACCCAGGGGAGTGGGGGCGAAGGAACCTCAGGTTGTGTCCTCCACCTAAGGCCCACCTGAGACCCCAGTGCCAGCACTGGGCCCCCACCAGGCAGCACAGTCCTGGGGACAAGAAGCAGGGGCACAGGGCCTGGGGCCCAGGGCATCCAGCGCCCCAGGAGCTCCAGCATGGCTGGTGAGGGGCGACAGGCAGTGTGTGTGACTACGCCACCTCTGACCCTTTCCCAGGCCCAGATCATAGTGGAGCCCGGGCCCCCCGGCCCCCCCGGCCCCCCAGGCCCCATGGTAAGAATGTCTGACTTGAAGGAGCTGGGATACGAAAAGGGTGGTGGGCCCATGCCCAGGAGCTGTGACCAGGGGAGGACAGGATTCCCTGGTGGGGGGGGAGGAACATGTCAGGCAAAGAGGGCAGAGTCAGGACCTGGGTTTGGGAGGCCCCAAGGTCAGGGCCACAGGGGCCAGTGAATGGCCTGCAAGCCTTCATGACCACTGCAAGAGGGCCAGCCCTGATCTCTCTCCCCCTCCTCCAGGGCCTGCAGGGAGCCCAGGGTCCCAAGGTGAGTTCCAGGGCATGGGTGAAAACCCCCTCCCCCCACCTGCTGCAGATTCACAGCCCGGACACTTCCAGAAAGCCTTGCTAATGGGCCAAGGGAGGGCCCCACACTTGGCCTTAGACCAGCCCCACATCTTCCCGTGGCCTGAACATTCTGAGTCCCCCCAGCTGGTGCCCCTCATGCCCTCACCTGGGGCTCTGCTCTGTCCCCGCTCCTTCTGCCCAGGCCCCAGTCCACTGCTTTCTCCCCCACCCCCGATGTCACCTCCCCTTTCCCTGTGCCTCCCCCTTCTTCGCCCCTCCCCTTTGCCTGCCATGTGCACAGCTGTCTCTCCACTGCCCACGGTCTTGACACGAGGTCTTGGGTTTGGTAAACATTACACTGTGTCGTGTCCTCTGCTCCTAAAGTAAACCCGTGGGCGCGCCCTGCCCGTGTGCGCGCCCTGCCTGTGTGCCGGGCCCCAGCAGCCACACAGGTGGGGAGGCTGGCTAGCCTGTCGGCTCACCCCGCCCTGAGGGAACACACATGTCTGCCCCCCAGCTCTGAGGCCACCTCGGGGACTCGGAGCCCTGGACTCCCAGAGCTGAGTGGGCCGAGCATGAGGCCGACCAGATGTGCTGCTTTGGCTCTGCTTTGTCCCCACCCCCCATCTGTCCCGCATCAGGTTTAGAAGACACCCATGCTGTCCAGGCCGGAGGCCAAGGCAGGGGCTCAGAAACTCAGTGGGCAGTCAGCTGGCCACTTGCTTGCCATGCAGCGGGGCCCATCCCTGCTCCTCTGTGCCTCTTTCCTCACCTGTAAAATGGGTGAGCACAACCAGCTACCGAGAGTGCTCGAGACCGTGTGCGGGAAAAGGCAAAGTGCTCGCACCTGCAGCTCATTCTGAGTGTTTGCACAGGAAAGAGCCAGGGCCAGGCCTGTCAGAGCCTGGAGCCTGTCCCTCTACCCTGAGCACCTGGGTTCCCCAGATTTCCTGTCCCTCCTTCTGTCCGACCCCATCCCCCTGACTGTCGTCCCTCCTTTGCTTCCAGGGTTTGGATGGAGCAAAGGGAGAGAAGGGCGAGGCAGGGGAGAGAGGCCCCAGCGGCCTGCCTGTGAGTGTCCTGTGTTTGTCCATAGACATGCTAATTCCTGTGACCACCAAGCCCCCTAACTCACTCCCTTTCCATCCAGGGACCAGCAGGCCCACTGGGCCTTATTGGGCTGCCAGGAACCAAAGGAGAGAAGGTAACCCCTTTTCTTTAATGCCCCTCTGACTGCAGTATAGCCGCAGTGTCACTCAGCCCTGAGGGGTCAACTCCTGTACTCCACTGGCCCCCAGGCTGGAGTTCTGCATGCAAACAACTCACAAGGCCACAGGCCCCAGAGCTGTGCTCCGGCACCCCTCCCCAGCCCCTCACACCTTCTCTTTGTGTCTCCTCAGGGCAGGCCCGGAGAGCCAGGGGAGCCAGGACTGGATGTAAGTGTCTGGGTCTGGTGGCACAGGCGTAACCCCCGTTCCCAGGGCTGGGACTACAGCAGCCGGGCTTCCCCTGTGATCCGAATGCCTAGTCCAATGCGCAGCCCGGAGGAGGGCTGTTTGGGTGCATGGGTGATGGGTGGGCGCATGACACAAGAACAGATGGTGGACTGACGACGCACTGGAGTGGGGAGGTGGGGAGAGCAGTGAGGAGCCCATTGCAATACTCTGGTGGAAGATGCTGAGGCCTCAGCTGAGGCAGTTGTGAGAGGGAGAGGAGAGGCAGCATTAGCCTGATGTTGATTGGATGGAGTGTCTGTTGGCTGCAAGAGATAGAAAACCCAATTTCCACTGGTTTAAACGGACTCGTCACTGAAAAACCCAGAGGCACAGCACGTGGATCCAGGGCCCAGCGTGTTGACATAACCCAGCCTCTCACCCTCTCTTGTATCTGATTCCTCTGTGTGGGCATCCCTCTGTATGGGTGGGCCGTGTTCCACCTGTGAGAAGGGTCAGGAGAAGACACCATTCAGACCCAGGGCAGTAGCCGGGGCAGAGCTATAGGCCCCTCAGCCACAGGGCCTCCTGGGGGCCCGGAGCGGAGTGTTATCTCAAAGCCACAGGCGCCCATTCTCCCTGGCAACCCGCTGGCACCCACTCTTCAGGCCCCGCTGAGACGGGGAGTCACTCAGAAGTCTTCCTGGACCTCACATCTGGACAGGGCAGCCCCTCCCCAGGACCCCACGGCGTTGTGTCCACTTTTCTGTTACTGAGCACGATCGTCTCCTTCTGCACCCCATCGCCTGCCATGTTAGACCATGAGGGACGTGTCATATTTGTACCCAAGGGGTTTTAATTCACGGAGGAGACTCAGGGTCAGCATGCAGAGGTCACTGCCTTCCAATGCATTTACTGCTTACACTCCCCAGGAGAAGGGCATGAGGGCCCCATGGGGAAGCACCTGGTTTGGCCTGGAGGCAGAAAGGGGCAGGGAAAGCCTAGGCCAGAGCTTCTGGCTGGTTTTCCACGGGAAAGGCAAGACAGGGCGGGCAGGGGAAACAGATTAGGATTGGCCAGTCTGAGTCATCCCAGCAGGCTTCAGCCCTGCGGGTGGCCTCTCGCTGCCTGCTGCTGGCCGAGGGGTGATTTCAGATGGGAAACACTGTTCTGGTGTGCGAGAGGTTGATAAGGGGGTGTAGGGTGGGGCGGGGGTGGGGAGGACTGGGTGGTTTGCTTCTGAAGGGCATGCTCCCAGACTAGCCCTTTGCCTCTCTAAAACCTGGCTGGTTCTGGAAGGGACAGGCTCTCGCCACCAGCAAGAGTTTTAAGACATCAAAACGCCGTGCCCTGGCTGGTGTGGCTCGGCTGGGTGGAGCACCGTCCTGCAAACGGAAGGGAGGCGGATTCAATTTCTGGTCAGGGCCTGTATGAGAGGCAACCAACCAATGTTTCTCTCTTGCATCAATGTTTCTCTCCGTCTCTCCTTCCTTTTCCCTCTTTCTAAAATCAATAAGCATATCCTCGGGTGAGGATTTTAAAAAATCATAAGACACAGAAAATAAACCACATAATAAATATGAGAGGGAGCACATCGCATCTGTCTCTCTGTACCCAGCACCCAGAACACAGCCCAGGCCCTAGTGGATGCGTAGAAGTGTTGGTTGGGTGGATGGACAGAGGGACAAATGGATGGACAGATAGGTGGGTATACAAGAGTTTGAACCAAGCCCAGAAAAGACAGGTCATTTCTTGGTCTGTCAAAAATGGTGACATAAACTTCTGTGGGTTTCCTGAGCCTGTCCCCAACCAAGTCTGGGCCAGTGCCAGCTGTGTCCAACTGAAGGCCCTTTGCCAGCCGTCCTGCCCGGGGCTACCAACACAGACTCCGACAGCGTCCTCCTTCGGAGGAAGGAGCCTGGTGTCCTGAAGGCACGCGTCTCCCCAAACCCGCCTGTACCCAGCGTCCGCGTCCCCCAGGAGCTGGAGCTGGGCCAGCTGGCGCCACATATAAGGAGGGAGGGGGCAGAGATGGACAGGTAAGAGGGGCACACCTCAAACCTCATCTTCAGGTTTAACCTTTAATCCTTTTGTCAGGGTTTCCCTGGACCCCGAGGAGAGAAAGGCGACCGGAGCGAGCGTGGAGAGAAGGTGGGGTAGGCGGAGAGAAGGTGGGGGCAGCTAGAGAGGAGGTGGGGCAGGAGGACAGGGGACGGAGGCAGGCAGAGGGGCAGGTGGGCAGGTGGAGGGGGAATGGGGGCAGCAGGGCAGGCTGGCTGCCAGCCCCAGACCCACCCATCAGAGGTGCTACAGGCGTCCTGGGGTCCACAGCCATGGCCATACCGCTGTCTCCCTTCTTGTGCAGGGGGAGCGAGGCATCCCCGGCCGGAAAGGAGTGAAGGGCCAGAAGGGCGAGCCGGGACCTCCAGGCCTGGACCAGCCATGCCCTGTGGTATGTGTCGGAGGAGTGAGGGGGCTCTTACCAAAGTCTCTGCCGCCTCCTGCCAGCGTCCTCCCTGCCCTCAGAGCTCAGCTGCACGTCCCAGAGGCCACACTGGCCCAGCCTGGGATGCCTACACTGCCGGGGCCACCACCACTGTCATTCTCGTTGTAGAGGGTCCTCCCGCTCTGCCTGACCCCGCCCTGGGCGCAGCTTGGGAGACCCAAACCCCCTCTATAGAGAGCGGAGCCCAGCCAGGAACAGAACCGTTCACGAGGCTCACTGCCCTTCTCTGCTGTGCTTCCTCACCCATAAAGGAGGGTGGGGCCGCCCTTCCCTCTCCGGGTGTCTGTCCCATCTGGAAGGGGTCTCTGTGATCGGGATGGCCCCGTGCTACCCCCTGCCTCTCCTCCTCCTGCCCCAGACCACTCCCTTCCCCACTCCCACAACCCCCGATGGCCCGCCCAACCCAGTGCCTGAAATGGCCAAAATTCAGATCCGTTTTCCTAGAAGGCAGAGGCGGTTACATGTCAGACTCTTTCACGGCGGCTCGGAACAGACAGGGAAAACAAAACAGCTGAGCTTCCAAGCTAGAGCTGACCGGATACTCACGCCTGGCCATCCGGCCAGGCCCTGAGGAGAGGACCCTCCAGCTGTGCCCACACCCGCCTGCCGAAGGGAGGTCAGGGCCGGGTGGGGAGCCCTGGAGGCCAGTCCTCTGCCCTTGACAAAAAGTACCAGGGACAGCAGGGAGCGGGGTGGCCCCGCAGATCCAGCCCCTGGGTCAAGACTTCCCCCCCAAGTCCTAAAGCCTTTGTCTTTGAAACAGGAAAGTTCTGAACTCGGAGGCAAGCCAGGGGCACTGGGCTCTCGGGGCCCTGCGATGGGCAGTGGGCCCTGCCCTGCGGTAGGCAGTCTGGCCTGCTGTGTGCTGTGCTGCTGGCGTCTGCCCGCCCTCCCTGGTCCTGCCTGCCTCCCCCCTCCCCCTCGGCCCCAGCCTGTGTCCACTGCCCCCCCCCCCAGCAGCTGGATGCACGGCAGTGTGCTGGTGCCCCTGGGCGTCTGAGGCCCTTGGGACAGAGTGGTGTTTGTGCCCCAGGACCCCCCAGGACTGTAGAGTCAGCCTTTGTCCCTTTCCAGGCCCCCATCCTCCGAGCTGCCTGAGGACCCTCACCCCCCACTTGTGTCTGATTGCTGAGCTTGTCACAGCCGATGCCTCCAGAAAGCCCCCTGCCGGGCTGCACCCTGCTGGCCTCTTCCTGCCTGGCTGCGGCACAGAGACAAGGATGGGTGCACACAGGGTGACCCCCCCTCAAATTGTCCACATACACTTCAGTTCCTGAGAACTCTCAAGCCCCCAGGGTGAAGGTCTGGAACCCCTGTCATGGTCACCAGGCAGAAAGACACACAGTCTCTGAGCAGAGCTAGGCCAGGTCCTCCGGTGCCCAGCAGATGTCCAGCACAAGCCCAGCACTGGCTCCTGGTTCCGCCCACTGCACAGGTGTCCCAACAAGCCCCATGGGGGCACAGCGGGACAAGTGCAGGAGGAGTGGTCCCACAACCGGGTGGCCTCGGTGGACAGGACTCTGTTCGAGAGGGGCCAGCAGCCTCACATGGCAGCTCCCTGAGCTGCACAGGCCACACCGGGGCAGGAGTGTGCCAGGGCAGAGAGCTGTCCGGCCCCTGCCCCACCCCTGAAGCCTTCCTCCTTTCCAGGGCACCGACGGGCTGCCCGTCCCTGGCTGCTGGCATCAGGTATCTTGTGGGGAAGTCTCCAGGACAGGCTGGGAGGAGTGGGGGCACAAGAGGGGCCCTGAGGGTGGGTGTCTTCAGCTCCCTTCACAGCTTCTGTGTCACAAACCTAGCTTTACCTCTCCCGACGTGTGGCCTGAGGCCGGGGCCACAGTCCTGGCTGATTATGCATAGCCCCCCTGCTGGTTGCACGGGCCCACTCAGCACCTGGCCTGGCCAGTGCAAAGCCATCAGCACCCCTGGGACTTTGTCTGGACTGCCCCCGGAGAAGAGGTGGAAGCCAGGATCCTGGGACTAGGGGGATAGGGGCCTACCTGTCTCTGAGGAAGCAGGAAGGAGGGGAGACCCAGGGGCCCGACGCCCCTCCTCACCTTCAGCCTTTCCCTCCTTTTCCAGTGATCCTCAGCACCCAGCTCACGACCTGTACAGATCCATGTGGACATTTTTAATTTTTGTAAAAACAAAACTAATATATTGATCTTCTTTCACGGGATGCACTGCCCGTGGCCTCCAACCTTTGAGCATGTGCCTGGCCCTGCCCCAGAACGACCAGCACGTGGCGCCGGCAGGAATTCAGACAAGCCAGTCGGGGGAACGGCGCACTGGAGGGGCACCGCTGGCCTTCGGAAGGAGACAAAGGTGGAGGTGCCTGGCTCAGGCGAGGCTGCATGGACGCCGGGTGGGGCTTTCTGTTGCCTGATTAGCAGACTCCCGCTGCCTGGCTGCCCTACAAGAGCCTGCCCCTGAAGCTCCAGAGCCTTGGGGACCACCTGGGGCGTGGATGGCCACTGCAGCTGCTCCTGGCCTCTCCAGCCAGAGCCAGCTGTCCATCCTGCCAGGCCCTCCTGGACTCTGGGCTCACCAGGGCAGGGTGAGACTCCCGCCCCAGGCAGGTCTAGCTCTCCAAGTTCAGTAGGCCTCAGGAGGCCCGCCTGGACGGGAACACATGTCCTCCGACTGGGAGGACAGGCCAAGCACTGTGGGCACCACCACGTGGACCCAGCCGCAGGGAGCATGGGTCCCCCAGTGTGGAGGATGGAAAGACCCAGGCTGGACTGGCTGCTGCTTCCTATCTGTCTCCCCGGCCCTAGCCCGGAGCAGGGGTGTGATAGGACTTTGCCAGCCTGAGGAGATGGGCCTCCAGCTCGGAGTCTGGGTGTCACTGGCCCCACTCTCCCTCCCAGGAGAACTCGGGTCCCCCGGGTGCACTGTCAGATGAAGAGAACTACAGGGTGGGCTCTCAGCGGCCCCAGCAGGGGCCTAACCTGCACATCGGCCCTCTTAGAAGAGGTTTCCCCACCTCTGACAAAGGTCCCCAGCCACCAGCTCTGGCCCGCTACTCGCCTCCCCTCTCTGTGTAGATGGACACTGCTGCGTGTAATAAACCATGAACTTATGTCTGGGTGCTGTCCTTGCAGACCGCCCCCTCCCCCCGGGGGTGCCTCTGCTCAGGCTCCACCCTGGCCACTGCAAAGTAGGGAGGGACAGGGGACACCCTCCCTGGGTCAGAGCACCCCAGACACCAGAGGAAGTAGCTCAGAGTCAGGGCAAAGATGGGGTTTGGAGCTTGGAAGACACATACCAGCTGAGCCCTCTGGCCAGTCATATCCATGAGCAGTGGCCAGTGACTGCTGCAGAGAAAATCACCCCAGCACGTGCTGCTGCCTTAAGACAACAGTCCTTCACACTTCTGACAGCTCTGGGGTTGCTGGGCTCCACTGGGCGGCTGTGGCTCAAGCTTCCCTGCAGCTGGTGGCTGGTTGGCATTGGCTGTCAGCTGGGGCATCAGGTGGCTGGAACACCCGCTGTTGAAAATGCAGGAGAAATAGAGGCGGGAAGAACCGGGTGATGTGATCCAAGTGCCTTGAGTTTGATGCTGTGCTTACAGACAGGCTGAGTCGGAACTGACTGCGGCCCCAAGGGGAGGCAGGAATGGGGTTTTTAAAAGAAAAAGTGCGTGGTTCGTGAGGGAATGGGGGGGTTCGTCTCTTGTTCTTCTAGGTGGTGCCTCAGGGCTCCAGGATGTGAGCCGGGACAGTGGGTCAGGTGAAGGGCGGGCTGCTCCCAGGTATGGGAGGGTCGGTCTGACCACCGGCTGTTGTGGCTGGCGCCGATGCCTACTGTGCACGGTGAGAGGGAGTTCCAATTAAGCCACAGGCTACCGAGTGAGTCGGGATAACTGAGTCGTGGACAGTCCAGGGAGTGGGAAACTGACCTGACCCTTTTGCCCACCCTGGGCCTCTCCCCGTGGTCTGGGCTCCTCACAGCATGGCCGCGGGACTCTAAGGGTGAACGTTCTGTGGCAAGCCGAGGGGAAGCTGTGTCACCTTTTATGGCCAAGTCTCAGAAGTCACATGGTGCCACTTCCTGGCACAGTCAGTGGTTGACTTCCAATTCCAGGGAAAAGTGTCGACATCATATTTTAAGGAGAAAAATGCAGGTCTTGTTGCAGCCCTCTTAGAAAACTCCGCCTGCCACCTCACCTGTACAAAGGGACGGTGATGCCTCATCTCCAATGGCAGCTAGTGGGGACCAGCTGCGTGGAACACAGGGAGAACCCAGGGCAGGGCAGGCACCTGGCAGCTCCAGTGGTTCTGAGTTCTCGTGCTCCTCTCCACTCCACGACAAGCAAGGGCCAGAGTCTTGCAAAGCGTTTCTACATCACTCATTCCAGCTGGTCCTTCGAACTGAGAGAGGGACCCAGCCAATATGCCCATTGAACAGATGACAAAACCAAGCACATCCGGGGTAGTGCAGACAAGGAGGAGCCTGCAGTGATGGTATCTCAGGCCCTCTCCCTCCAACGACTGAGGCCTAAGGAGAGCCACGGTTTGGGCAGCCCCCCTAAGGCCCCACTCTGTGGCCTCCTGACTGCAAGGAAGAGGCCCAGCCGCACCCCACTGAGGAGGAGGAGGAGGAATGTGTCAAGGCCATGCCTCTGTCTCCCTAAGCTGCTGGCGATGAGGGGTGGGCCCACTGCTCAGCCAGCCAGTCTGGGTCACCAGGGAAGCCAGCAGTGTGAAGAGGACAGGAAACAGTGGGGCTGTGACGACTGACGAGGTCACAGGCTGTTCAAGTGCCCTGTGGTGCCCCAGCATAACCTCACAAACCTACTGCATTCCACGGTGTGCAGCTTGCTCCTCCCTCCATGCAGGAACCTCAGGGTCCCCCCACCAGCCTGTGGAGGAGGGTGTGTTTGTGGTTCGTGTCGCCACCTCCATCTGACATGCAAGGAAACGGAGGCTCTGAGGGGGCCGTCATCTGCCTAGGGAGAAACACCAGAAGTGTCTTTTGAAACTGCTTGTCAGGGCAGTCTGCCAGGCAGCACCACGTTGCTGGGTGATTGGCAGACACATTCTGGGGTGGTAGAAACCACGTGCTCCCCCCTCCCCACACACACATCAGAGGAGGTCCTGCTGCTGCTCCTTTGGGCAGGACAAGGCTATTTGTGGCCCACTTCTGCCCCCTCGTGGCCTCGTGCCCCATATCCTAAGGTCTGCAAACTTTTCAACTGCAAACCAAATTTTAGAGCCTACAAACTGCTATAAGAGCTTGGGTGTGTATGAGAAACTATAGAAGAGTGAATGCCTTGCTCAAGGTCCCAGCTGAGACATGGGCGAGTGCCCTGCCTCACAGCTGAGCCTCAAGGGCCAAGGGTTTCACATCTCTGTGCCAAAAAACTGCCCCCTTCCAGAAGAAAGGGAAGCACATTTATTGAGTCCTACTGGTTCCAGGGCAGCTAAACTAATCACAAAAATTCCTGCCCCCTCAGAAGAGGGGGCTGATCAGGTCTCCCTCCTCCTGATCCCTACAATACTACATGGGGTGCTGCTGGCTGTCACCATGACTGGGAGACACTCCTGGCATCCAGTGGGCAGACATCTGAAACGCACGACAGTCCTGCACCGTGATGAACCATCTCCCTGGGAGCGCCCGTGCTGCCTGCCTTGAGAAACACCATGCCCTAGGCTCAGATTGGCCACTGCCTCCCATTCCCTGCCCTCTTGGCCTCCACTGGCCCCTAGAAGGCTGGGCATGAGAAAATGCAGGGGTCCCCAACTTTTTAGGGCAAGGGCCGGTACGGGGCTAGGCCTATTAGAAACCGGGCCACATATCAGGTGGTGAGCTTGAATGCAACGTGTTGGAATCATCCTGAAACTACCCCCTCTCTCCCCCATACCCAGTCTGTGGGTCTTCCACAACACCCGTCCCTGGTGCCTAAAGGCTGGGGACCACTGAGATAATAGAGGAGTGCTTAGCCTAGGGCCACAGGCAGGGAAGAGTGGGCTTTTTGAGCAGGAAGAAGAGGCTTCCTGGTGTTGTCCCGCCCCTGTTGTAGATACTCTTGGCCAGGAAACGGTCCAGTTAGAGGCCTGGCTTGACCGCCACCTGCACTGCTGCCTAGCCTTGGACGCCCCGAGTGGGTGAGGTGTGGGCTGGGACTGGCTACAGCCTCCACCCTCAGGCCAGAAAATTCTGAGCCAACCTAACTGCTCCAAGCTGCCCTGGGCCACAAGACAGGCTTCTGTTTGGGCTCCAGACAGGGCCCCAATGGTTGCCTGTGGCCTGTCCTCTTTTCTGAGGGTCAGTTCCCCTGCCCTGTATGTGGGCAGCGTATTTGGTTAATTGGGGAGAAATTTTTTTTCAAGAATCATACGTAAGTTTCGATATACCATTTTACAGTTAAAAGAAACTTTTAGCTTTGCACAGTGGTGGTATCATAGCCAATAAGGTTTATCTGAGACACAATTATGGCTAACTGGGGGCGGGGGGGGGCGATAATAAGAAATACCATCCAGTTTAGTAGATGAGAAAAGTTCTGGAGGTGGATAGTAGTGATGGCTGCACAAAGTGAACACACCAAAAACGATAAAATTTTATGGTTTGTATATGTTACTACAATAGAAAGAAGAAACCCTGGCTGGTGTGGCTCAGTGGATTGAGCACTGCAGAGCAAGGAGTTACTGGTTCAATTCCCAGTCAGGACACATGCCTGGCTTGTGGGCCAGGTCCCCAGTAGGGGGCGTGCCTGAAAGGCAACCACATACTAAAGTTTCCCTCTCTTCCTCCCCCTCTCTAAAAATAAATCTTTTTTAAAAAGAGGAAAAAGCAACTCCAAATGTTCTTTAATAAATGCCTTAATAAACATTTTACATTTTTATGGGGGAAGAGATAAAGAAATCAGCAATAAAGGAGCAAAGCAGGGAACAGTAACCCCTTGTGCTTGGGGTTCATTGAGGCAGAAAGTCCCAGGGCTACATCCCTGCAGATGATCTGTTTGCTCTCCAGGCCCCTGGGCTGGGAGTCGGCCGACCAGAGCTGGAGTGTGTCCTGTGCTGCCCACTCGCTGTGTGTCTGAGGGCTTTCCTAACCGCCGCAGGAGCGCCCCCAGCCCTCCTGCTGCCTGAACACTCTATGACCAACTCCCTTAGCGCGGATACGAATCCCGTTCACCGCGCGTGGGGTCCCAGGAACCGTTCACGGCGCTGGGAAGGCGACTCAGGGACTGAGCCCGGGGTCCCAGGCGAGGCCTGGCGACCTCAGAGCCCGCTCGGTGGCAGGAGCCGCGGCGGCCTCACCCGGGGACCCCACCGGGGGAAGGAAACCGCCCGGGCCCGAAGGGCGAGCCCGAGGTACGCCGCGGGCCGAGGGCTGGGGCAGCACTCAGCGAGGACAGCACAAATCCCGCTCCCACGCGGCGCTTTCCACAGAACGACGTGGCTGTAGGAAGCCCACGGGACTCGCTCGCCGAGTGAATTAACTCCCGAAACTGGCCGCGGGCGGGGCGGGGCGGCGGTGGGGCGGGGCCGGGCCCCCGCGCCCTTGGCCTTCGTCTCCGCAGACTGCCGCCGAGCGTCATGGCCTCGGATCCACGCGGGAAGGCGGCGACGCTGGCTCAGCGGCGGCGACTGCTCAGGTATCAAGACGGCGGCGCGAACGGCGCGCACGCACGACGCACGCACGTCCTGCGCGGAGTCCGTGGCCCGCGGCCCGGAGCCCCCAGCCTGGGCGACCCCTCCCCGTCCTAGCTTTCCTGGCCGCCTAGGCTCGGCCCCGCGCCGTGGGTCCGGGCATCCGCTTCCCCCACCGCGCCGTCTGCGGCCGTCCCCTCGGCCCGCCCTGCGGCTCCGGAGCCAAGCCCTTCCGCAGCCGCAGCCGACCGCTCCGCGGCCTTTACCCGCGAGAAGGCCCTTGCCTGGCACCAGGGAGGACCTGGCCTGGCCTGGCCTGGCCTGGGAGGGACTCCTTCAGGGACCGAAGTTGAGACGCAGAGTGGGGGTGGGGAGCCGTTTCACTGGCAGTCTTGGAGAACCTCCGCCCTGGACCTGCGCCAGGGGCCCTTGGCGGTGCGCGAGGCAGCCTCTGGCTGGAGCTTGGAATTGCAGCTGGCTGCACAGCCGCCTAACTCGGCTGGCAAGAACCCTTGAGGGCTCGCGCCCGCCACCTGCTGGGGTGCCCCCCTCACTCCCACGCCTGCAAAGAAACACTGCCTAAGAGAGGCGGCCGGAAGGTCTTGGCGGCCACCTTTTCCGGGGATTCAAGGGACTGATGTGGGTATAGGAACCACGTAGCATCCCAACTGCTTACCCCCTCCTTTTCCTCCTTCCCAGTCTCACCTGGGGAGTAGGGGACTAGGGGCAGGAGGCAGCACGGTGGCCTGCCAGCTTTTGTCCTTTCCAGAAACTGAAAGGGGGGAGCTGTGATGGGCGGGCTTCTCCCTTCAGGTCTTCAGGCATGGCTGTCCACTGTTTTGGCCTGTCCCCACAGCTCTTCCTGCAGACTCTTTTTTCCTGAGGATCCTATTAAGATTATCCGGAGCCAAGGGCAGTACATGTATGATGAACAGGGGGAGGAATACATCGATTGCATCAACAATGTGGCTCACGGTCAGTACCATCCCGCAGGGTGGCGGGACAGGAGAGGAGGCAGGGGCTGTGAACCTAGTCCAAGGGGAATTCTGAGGTGCAGAGATGCTGGGGCACTTGGGGAGAGCTGAGCAGAGGAGGCCCGGTCTTTCTGGTGTAGCTGTAGACGTTTCCGTGCAGGAGCAGTGCTAAACTGGGCAGCAGTCAGAGACCCAGGTCCGGGAGTCCAGTTCCACTTGGGACTGACCTCAAGCTCAGAGAGCAGCAGTCAGCCCAGTTGTGACTAGCAATGGGCTCCCCTGGCCAAGTGCTGGGGGTCACAGCAGGGCTCAGCCCCAGGGACCATCTCAGGTCCTGAGCAAAGAAACTGAGGTAGGAATTCAGTTATCCAGATCGGGAGTTGATGGGGGAAAAGCAGGTCTGCCTCTCAGCGGGTACCTGGGAGGTTAATAAAGTGGAGGCTAAAAGCAGGGGCTCTAGTCCCAGCGTGCCTGGGTTCATACCCCTGTCCTTTACTTGTTCACTTTGTAATCTTAGGCAAGTGACTTAATCCTCTCTGTTCCTCAGTTTGCTCATCTGCAAAATAGTCATGATAATACCAGATACCCACCTCAGAGTGTTTTGGAGGATTGCGTTAACTCACGTAATTTGCTTTGAGTGCCTGGCGCCTGGTGAGCTCCCAGCTCGAGCTCGCTGTTAGCATCATCTTTGGCCTTTGGCACTCATTACTTCCAGCCCCCACTGACTGGTGAGGTCAAGCCTGCCGCCAGGCACCCCCACCCCTACCAAAGACATAGGTCTCTAAGTAGGTTTCTGCCAGAGAACTTTTCTTCTGCCAGAACCTCAGGGACTCCTTTCTAGGTCTCCCTTTTCCAGAACGGACATCTGTCTCCCACCTCTGTCTTCAGGCTCCCCTCTTTCCTATCCACCTCTCCTTGCATAACTGTGTCTCCCCAGCTGGGCATTCAGATTGGGGTTGGGGAGGCCTGGTAGGATCAGTTGAGCAGAGTCAGCTGTGTGATGAAGGTGGCCTTCTTCCAGTTGGACACTGCCACCCTCTCGTGGTCCAAGCAGCACATGAACAGAACCAGGTGCTCAACACCAACAGCCGATACCTGCATGACAACATCGTGGATTTCGCACAAAGGCTGTCTGAGACCCTGCCAGAGACGCTCTGTGTGTTCTATTTCCTGAATTCTGGGTAAGTGGCCTGTGGCCAGCCCCCAAGCAAGACGAGCATAGTGGAGCCCAGCGAATGTGAACTGGAGAAGAGGCAGCCCTCACCGGGCAGGTGCCTGAGCTTCCCAGCTGTACACCCTGTGCTTACTCTGGCAACCCAGTTGCCTGGTCTCTTAGTAAGAGATGTCATTGCCTCCCTTCCAGGATCATTGGCAGGGCTCACGAAGGTAATACCTTCCTGTATTTCTGCCTTGGGAATACACAGACACAGTGCTGGGGCTGCAACCAAATCCCTGCTTACTCAGTGAGAAACAAAACCTCTAGTGATTCTTCAAAAAAAATGAAACATTATGTGGGGGGCGTAGGGGTCATTGCCTGGAGGAAAAGTGCAGGATCCCCTGAGGCACAGAAGCAGACCTGGCCTGCTCTGGAGGGTCGGGAAAGGAGTGACGTGACACTGAGAGCTGCCCGGGAGACGAGTGTGCTTGTCGAGGTTCCCAGCACACGGGGCAGCCTGTGCAGAGGCCCTGCAGCCCAGCCCGCCTGAGGACTGAAAGGCGGCCGGTGAGGGAGGGACACAGGGCCCCTCAGCCAGGGTCTCAGCAGCCAAGTAAAGAGTCTTGTTTGTATCCTAAGAGCATTGGAAGTTGTCGGAGGGTCTTGATCTGACAAGTGATATCATCAGGGCTAGGGGAGAGCGAGAGTGGTCACTGTGGGGTGCCATTTCAGCAACCAGGTGGCAGGTGATGGCGGCTCCCACTGAGGAGTGGCAGTGGGGACAGCAGTGGCAGATGATGACGTGTACACAGAAGCAGGCCAGCATCCTGTCCGTGTTGAGAGGACATTTCAACACGTCTTCGGTTGATGCATCTAGGTCCTAGTAACTTTATTATCATCGTCGTTTGTGTAGTGCATTTGTCATTCTCTCCTGCGTGGTAATTTCTAGGAGACAGAATTTACATCTTCATTTTACGGATAAGGAAACAGCCATTCAAAAAAAGGAACCTACTCGCCCAGGGCCATCCACACAGGGGTTGGGAGCCAGAATGGGAACCTCTCCAGGAGGAGCAGGGAGCTGGTCCAGGAGTGGGAGCATCCTTGGCAGTGGAGGAAGGGACATTTGCTGGGTTACGCCACCAGATTTACTCTGTGGATTCCAGCAACTTCCGTGTGGCCAGACCCAGTGGGCTCTTTGCTGCCCTTGTCCTGCTGTCTCTCAGCAGTGCTGGCAGTCACCGCTCTCTCAAGAAGTGCTCTGGTCTTGCTTCCAGGACACTGCTCACTCCCAGCTTCCTCGAGGTTCTGGCCAGCCCTCCTGTCTCCCTTTGCCGATTCCTGTTCTGTAGGGCAGGTCCTCTCTGGGCCCTCTCCCTTCGAGATCTCATTTGTTCCCATGGAACTACATGTCACTGTGTGCTGGTGACTCCCCAGTTTGTGTCCCAGCCACGTGGTTCTAACCCCCCACTTGACCTCTTTTTTTGTTGTTGTTTTAAGAATTTATTTAAGAGAGAGGGGAAAGGAGAGAGAAAGGGAGAGAAACACTGATCAGCTGCCTCTCACACACCCTCAGCCAGGGACCTGGCCCACAGACCAGGCATGTGCCCTGACTGGGAATCGAAGTGGCCACTTTCCAGTTTGCGGTGCGATGCCCAACCCACTGAGCTGCGCTGGTCAGGGCGCATTTGACTTCTTGAACATCTCCAACTCCACATGTCGGAAAGACAGTGAGGAGGTGATCATCTTCTGCCGATGCCTGGTGTGGGCCCGTGGCCCCGGCTCTCCCTCGCTTTCCCAAGCACCACCCCAGACCTTCTCAAGAGGACATCACCCTCACTGCCACCCCACACCTGGTCTCGCCTCAGCAATGGCAGTAGCATCCGCCCCTCTGTTGCAGGCAGAAACCTGCCTCCCGGTCCTGCATCGGGCCTGTCTTACCGGTCTCCAGGATGTCTCCATCCACCTCTGTCCCTCTCTGTGGCTACCACATGCTCTTGCTGCATGTCCTTGGTCTCCTTACTTCCACTTTTTTTTCATTGCATTAGTGGGTTCTTTTTTATTTTATGACTATGGTGGATGGAGGAGGGGCAGCATGCTAGAGCTGACAAGCCCAGAGAGTTCATTTCCACTTTAATTCCTGTCTACTCCATTAGTCACAGCCACAGGCTTCCGCCTCACGTGGAAGCTGAGCTGTGTCTCTTCTGTGACTCAAACACTTTGGTAGCTCTGCCCAGCCCTAGAAAGAAGGTCCAGGCTCCGTCCAAGGCCCCATGAAGATGGCCCCATGTGTCTTCCCACGGCTGCCCCACCTCGGGCCTCCCTGTCCTCTCTCGGTTCCTGAGCACACCGAGCTCTTTTCTCTCACCAGGCCTTTGCACGTGCCACTCGCCGTGCCAGAAACTTCCCCCTGGGGAGGCAGTGCAGGTGCTGCCCCCTCACAGAGTCCTGCCCTGACCCCCGTTAGCCAGCTCAGGCTGCCCCAGGGAGGCTTCGGCAGCAGCCATTTCTCTTCTCTCGGTCCTGGGGGCCAGGGCTGAGAGCAGGGTGTCCACGGGTTCGGGTTCTTCACAGGTCCCCTTGGTTTGCAGATGGTCACCTCGCTGCCTTCCCATGGTCTGTCCTCTGTGCCCCCAGCCCCTGGTATCTCTGTGTCCAGACTTCTCCTTACGAGGACATCACTGAGGTTGGACAAGGGCCTCCCTGACGGCCCCATATTAACTTCATCTCCTCTTTCAGTCCCTGTCTTGCACATACAGACTCATTCTGAGTGCTGGGAGTTAGAACTTCAACCCGGGAACTTTGCAGGACACAATTTAGCCTGGAACGCCCCCTTGTCTAAAGCAGGGCCCCTCCAGTGCTCGTAGGGCACTCACCGACATGATCGTCCTTTCTGTCCTTGGGTTTTGTTTGTTTGTTTGGCTTTCAGGACACATTCTGTTTTACTGTTTTGGCCCCTGCCCCGTTCCTAGTGCAAGTCAGGTATTTGGTGAATTTTTATTTAATGACTAATGAATGGGGTCCCGAGAGTTTTCTGGCTGCTGGTAGGGCTCCCCCTTCCCTCTGGGCTTCTCTGGAGGAAGCAGGACCCCAGGAGGGACCGCCCTCAGACAGCTGGCAGCACAGTGCCCTCCTTTTCCACCACAGGTCGGAGGCCAACGACCTGGCCCTGAGGTTGGCCCGCCAGTACACGGGACACTGGGATGTGGTGGTGTTGGAGCAGTAAGTGCCTTTCCCAAAGCCTGGGCCCGCCGCCTGGTGGGGGTCAGTGAGGCTCCGGCTTCCAGTGCCCTGGGCAGGAAGGACAAGGCTGTGGCTACAGAGACACCCCCACACACACACCAGGGGGGGCCTTTTCCCCATCTCTTTTCTAGGAGGGCAGCTTCTGGGGAGCTGAGAGAGCTCTGGTGGCAGGGGGGGCAGGATTGGTCCCATATTTGAGGCATTGAAGCTGGTCCGACAGTGGCTTCCGCGTATCGATCGCCTGCCGCACAAGGCCCAGGGTCGGAGCCTTAGCACATGGACGGCTCATTACAACCCCGAAGGGAAGCCCCACTTTACAGAGGAGAAGACTGGCCCCAGGGAGCCTAGCTGGTTACCCCCATTACACAGCGAGTAAGCAGCCTCGCAGGAGGCCTTACAGACTGCTGTGCTCGTCCTCGGCCCGGGGACTCAGGGCTGCATCAGAAAGGTGTGTCTCCTGGGGAGGCCAGGCCAGAGACACAGGACGCCTGGACCTGAGCCCGCCCTCCCCTCTCCTCCCCAGCGCTTACCACGGCCACCTGAGCTCCCTGATTGACATCAGCCCATACAAGTTCCGGGACCTGGATGGCCAGAAGGAGTGGGTCCACGTGGTACGCATGGCCCAAGGGGGCGACAGGTCGGTGCCTGCGCCTGGCGTGGGTGACACGGCGCTGTCACTCCCCACAGGCACCTCTCCCAGACACCTACCGGGGCCTCTACCGGGAGGACCATCCCAATCCAGCTGAGGCCTATGCCGGAGAGGTGAAGCGTGTGGTCAGCAGTGCACAGGCACAGGGCAGGCAGGTAACCGCATCTGCACCAGTCCAATCCTGCCGAGGGCGAACGCCACTCCCCCTGTTGCCAGCTGGTGCTAGGTACAGGAGCCCTGAGAGACTCAGAACCGGGGGTGTGTCTGGGAGATAGCAGAGCCCCGGGGCCCAGGCTGCACCCATGTGGGTGTGGAGGGTCCATGGAGGTGCTGCCTGACTTCAGTGATGGAAGGTGAGTAGGAGTTAGCCAGTCAAGGTGGGCTCAGGGATAGAAGAGCAGAGGCACTCTAGAAAGCCTACGTCGTCGTCGAGGTGAGGAACCAGGAGAGGGTGGGGCCAGGCTGAGCAGACAAGAGGCGAGCCTGGACAGGCCGGCAACCCGGTGCTGGAAGCCCGCAGGTGTGGGCTGAGGTACCGGAGGCCATGGCGGACCTTTGAGGGATTTTAAGAGGGAGGGTAATAAGACCAGGGTGCACTTGAGTGGGGCCAGCCCAAGGGTGCATAAGCAATGAGGGCGCCCAGTCCAGGCCAGTGTAGTAGAGACGGAGAGGGTCAAGACAGGACAGATGTGCTGAATTCTGGGAGAGCAGCGGCCTCGGTTACAGGAGGGGGAGGAGGCCTCGCTGAAGGAGTGACAGCACACATGACAGAGACCGGCGGGCTACCAGGCCAGAACGGGTGGCAGAGCCAGACCTGGGGGGCCTGGCCCATGTGTTCCTATGGTCTGCACCCACATATGTAAAGCCAGGAAAGCGGCTGCTCTGGCGGCAGCCAAGTGGGGGACTGGTTTGCCACCCCGTCCGCCTTTTCCCTCATCCGGCAGTTGCCTCTGAAGCAACTCCACGGCAGAACACAGTTTGGGAGTCAGTGCTGGGAGCAGCAGGGGTCACGGAGGGTTTTAAACACGACAAGCTTAGTGCCGGGGTTGAGGCACCTCCCAGTGGCCAGTGGACAGCCGGGAGAGGCATCCAGTCGGAAGGCCCCTGCCGGGGGGCAGGGCAGCACCTGGCAGACCTGTGGAAGACAGGCGTCCCAGTGGTGGGAGGGAGTGGGTGCAGGGGTGGCACAGGACTCGGGCTGTGCTGACTGGTGGGTGCAGGAGGGGCTGGGTCGGGGACGGGGGCCGCAGTTCTGTTCGAGGTCGGAGGCCTGGGCGCAGGGTGGGGATGAGTATATTTTGTCTGGAGCCTGCCAAGTACAGGAGTCTGGGGCTTCTACGTTGTCGGAGTTGGATTGAGCCCTGAAAGAAAACTGAGTCATCCTCAGAGGTGTTGTGGTGAGTGAACTGGGGAGACAGCAATGACAGTAACACATTCTGTTTGGAGCCAGCCCTGAGGCAGCATGAGCAGAACTGTCTCCGCTGGCCCCTCAGCACCTGCACGTCAGTGTTCCCACATCCCCTGTCGTCCACAGATCGCTGCCTTCTTTGCTGAGTCCCTGCCCAGTGTCGGGGGGCAGATCATTCCCCCTGCTGGCTACTTCCCGGAAGTGGCGAAGTGAGTAGGTGGGAGGGGTGGCCCCAGGAGGCCAGGCCTGTAATGGGGTTTCCCAACCTTTGTTCCACATTCCAACCTCAGCTTCACCTGTTCACCAGATTTTTCTGGGCCCCTGAAAAAATAGCGGCCCTAGAAGGCCAGCCATCTGCCTAAGGCCTCGACTTTACTGTGGGCAGAGCCAGGATTCAGTCCCAAGACCTCCCTGCTCCTGCTCCGACCCCTCTGGCCATAGCCCCAGCCCGTCAGCCCTCTGTCCTCTGCCACAGGCACATCCGCAAGGCCGGAGGGGTCTTTGTTGCAGACGAGATTCAAGTGGGCTTTGGCCGAGTAGGCAAGCACTTCTGGGCCTTCCAGCTGCAGGGGGAAGACTTCGTCCCCGACATTGTCACCATGGGCAAGTCCATTGGCAATGGCCACCCTGTAGCCTGTGTGGCCACAACCCAGGCTGTGGCGAGGGCGTTCGAAGCCACCGGTGTTGAGTACTTCAATACGGTGAGTGGAGGCTCCAGGGCCAGGGAGGACTGAGGGTCTGGAAGGGCCCCGGCAGCCCACTTGTCCTTAATAAGCAAAGACCGGGGAGCTGGTGCTGTTCCACCACAAGGATGCCCGGGGTGCTGTCGGGCAGGTGGGAGCCCAGGAAGCGTTACAGCAAGTCAGAGGAAAAAATGCAACCCCCCCTTTAAAATTTGCATCAACCTAAAAACTGTGGCAAAATATGCCTATGATTTCATTCCAGCACAGGCTACCTACTGTGTGCAAGACCTTGCGCTAAGAGCTGAGCAAGGTACATGAGGAGTGCCCATCCGGGTGGTGTACCTTGGGGTCAGAGTCCACCTTGCCCTTGGAGCTGGAGGAAGGCGTGGCTCCCTGACCTTGTGCTGCAGGGTGGAAAGCTTTCCCTCAGTGAAGTGCATCCTGGGGCGCCCAGAGCACAGTTGTGTGGTGCTCACAGTTGTGAGGTGGCGTGGTGGCCACCAGGTGGCCTCAAGGTAAAGAGCCAAGGCACTTGAACTAGTCTTCAGGACACTGAGGAACCAGGGAGGTGCTTCATAGGGGAGAGACGCGACCTGAAATGCACTTTAGGGGCGTCACTCATTTCCACCAGGGTCCACATCAGCCTCACAATTGCCTTCAAAGAGCCAAATGTAATTTTAGGACCGTGTAAATGCAACTACTCCTTAACAGTTAAGCGAGAGCTCAGCACTGCGGCCAGGTAGAAACAAGGTGCTGGGCCAGATAAAACAAGGCAGGCCACGAGCATTGGGTTCACCACCTGTGCTTTAGAAGGATCTCTGTGATCCGTGTGGAGAAAGATGGGTGGTTGGTGACTGGTCCAGGCAGGAGAGGAGGAGCCCAGATCAGGGCACAGGCCACAGGGGAGAACAGGGAGGGGCTGAGAGTTGAGGGAACTCACTGTGACCTCCCAAATAAGAGGCGGTTTGAATCGAGGCCTGCCACCTGTCAGGATTTGGCAGAGGTCTTTGAGGGTGAAGGCTGGTGCTCTCAAGGTGTCACTCTGTGCCCCGCTGACGTGTAGACAGAGCTTCTGCCCTAGACAAGTTCACTGCTCAGGGTGGGGGTTGGGGGAGGGGGGACAGGCTCCTAGACCCCCTGATCACTTGGAAGTAGTGTGTTCAGTGCACCGGGGACACAGGATGGGGGGCAGAGAAGAGCAGGGGACACTTCTTGCAGATGTGGGAGGGTGAGGAGGAAGCAGCGTGTGCTGTGTTGTGTGCTGTGGTGCTGTGTTGTGCTGGGTGAGAGCGCCTGCTGGAGCCCAAGCCTGGGTTTGTCACTCTCACTGAAGCCCACACAGATTATGTCGTCAGTCCCCGCTTCCTGCAAGTCTCGTCACTTGCTCCTGCACAGCCCTTTCAGTTAATCAGCCTGATCCCTGATACAAGCCATCGTCCCAAACAAAAGTGAGGACCTCGACCAGAACCCGCACCTGTCTGTCCCTGTGGCTGCTCCCCGTCCCTGCCCCTCGGCCCAGGCAGCTGTCACTCCGAGTCCTGAGCTCAGCAGTCACTCTCGTTTTCTGGCTTTGTGAGGAGCGTGTCCCGCTGTGTGTCTGTGGTCTCTGGGGACTTGTTTTTTACCTGACAGTACATTCCTGAGAGTTACACTGCTTGTCACTGAAGTTCATTTGCTGTGACTGCATTGTATCAATGTCCCGTTGTGTAAACTGCCTCGGTTTATTGTGCTTCAAGGTCATTCTCTCGGTGGTAGTGGTGGTGGTTAGGAACAGTGCTGCTGTGAACCGGTTTTTTTGGGGGGTTTTTGTTGTTGTTGTTGTTGTTTTGTTTTTTTTTTTTTCTAAGTCTCGTCGTACAGGGAAAACGTGCAAGTTTTCCCAGGACAGCCCAAAAGCGGAGGTGCCAGGTCATTGTCCACCTCCACTTGTCGAGGCAGCAACATGTGTTTACAAAGTAGGCCACGAGGTAACGCGCCGCCCGCAGGTGTGAGAGATTCCATAGCCCCTCTTCAGTTGTGCCGGGCATGTGGGACGTGAAGGTGCATCCCCTCGAATCAGGGAATGTTCTTGATTCACCCCTCCTCGACTTCAAGTTATGTGAAGCATCCTTCTTACATTTATTGGCCATGCGTTCCCTCTTCTCTGAAATGCCTGGTTTTTCTTTTGTCCATTTTCACTGAGTTACTAGTACTTTCCTTTTGTGGGGTTTGTGTGTCTGTGTGTGTGTGTATTCCTGTATGCATGATTTTGAGGTTTTATTCCTATATGTTCATTCAGAATCAAATCTTTATTTTTAAATTTAGGTATAACTGGCATAACATTATGTTAGTTTCAGGTATACAACATAATGATTCAATATTTGTGTCTTTTATAAAACAATCATCACAATTAACAGCCATTGCTGTAGTTACAAATTTCTTTTCTTGTGATGAGGACTTCTAAGATCTGCTCTCTTAGAGACTTTGAAAATACAATATAGAGACCCTGGTCAGCTAGCTAAGTTGGTTAGAGTGTCATCCTGATATGCCAAGGTTGTGATTTCAATCCCTGGTCAGGGCACATCAAGAATCAACCAATGAGTGCATAAGTAAATAAAACAACATATAGATGTTTCTGTCTCTCCCCCCTTTTTCTCTCTCAAATCAACAAATAAATGTCATCAAGTAAAAAATGAAATACAGTATTATTAACGATCATCACCATGCTGTACGTTATATTCCCAGGACATGTTTTATAACAAAGTTTGTACCTTTTGACCATCTTCATCCATTTGCCCACCCCCACCTCTGGCAACCACCAATCTGTGCTCTAAGAGTGTGATTTTTTTTGTTTTGGTGGGGGTTTTTAGGTTGCACATATGAGATTATAAGGTGTTTTTTCTTTCCCTTAGTTCACTTAGCATAGTGCCCTCAAGGTGCTCAAGTATGTTGCTGAAAATGGAACGATTTCCTTCTTTTTACAGCTATTTATATATATTTAGGTAAATATATACCACCTCTTTATCCATTCACCCATCCATCAATGGACACTTAGGTTGCCTCCGAGTCTTGGCTACTGTAAGTAACACTGTAGTGAATGTGGGTTGCAAGTATCTCTTTGAGATACTGGTATCATTCCCTTCATATAAATACCCAGAAGTAGAATTGCTGGGTCGTATCACAGCTCTATTTTTTAATTTTTTGAGGAACCTCCACACTGCTTTCCATAGTGGAAAATTTACATTCCCACTAACTGTGCACAGAAGTTCCTTCTCTCTCCTCACCAGCGCTCCTCGTTTCGTCTTCTGATGGTGGCCATTCTGATGGTGTGCGGTGGTCTCTCACTGCAGTTTCGATTCGCATTTCCCTCATGATTAGTGATATTGAGCACCTTTTTTGTGTAACTGTTGGCTGTGTGTCTTTTGCAAAAATTGTCTATTCAGATCCTCTGCCAATTTTTTGAACCATATTGTTTAGGAGTTTTTACTATGGAGTTATGTGAATTCTTTATATATTTTGGACATTATCTCCTTATCAAATAATTTGCAAATATTTTTTCCCACTTGGTTGATTGACTTTTCATTTTATTACTGCTTTCCTTTACTGTGCAGAAGCTTTTTAGTTGGATGTAGTCCCACTAGTTTCTGTCTTTGTTGTCTTTGCTTTTGATATCAAATCTAAAAATCCCAGACACGTCAAAGAGCTTACCAGCTATGTCTTCTTGTAGTTGTTTTATAGTTTCAGGTCTCACATGCAAGCGTTACAGGTGATTTTCTGTGGTGGTCCTGTTTCATGCTTGCATGTGGCTGTCCAGTTTTCCAGGAATTGAATCTATTTTCAGATGGAGTAATCATTTTCCATTCCTAATCATGACTTTATTCTTCAATTTTATTTTATCTGCTATTATAAAGCAACTCCAGCTTTCTTTTGGCTCATCGGTGTTTTTCTACCCTTCTGCTTTCAACTGAGGCTATGCTCACGGGAGGTGTGTTTCTTTTACCCCGCATATACCTAAAATGTGGCTTTTTGTCCAAATCTGTTAATACGATTTTAAAATTATTTTAGATTATTTAAATTTAACACAACTATTGATATATTTAAGCCTGTTGCTAACATATTAATTTATAACAAGTTTAATATATTTTTCTATCTCTCATCTTTTCTGCTTAAACTATCTGTATTAAAAATATTTCATCCCAAATTATTTTCAGTGCCTTTATGTTGCAAACCTTCTGAGGTCTTGTATGTCTAAGAATATTTTTATCAGACCCTATTTAAATGTTTTTGCCAAATATAAAATCTAGGTCTTAGCTATTTTCCTTCACTGCTTTAAAACTCTATTTCCATCTGGCGTGCAGTGCTGCTGTTGGAAAAGCTGAAGTCACCAATTCTTTCTTCATTGATATAATCCACATACTGTAAGACGTGCATGTGCATCTAGGTTAACACCTTTGAAACGCCAGAATACTTTGGACCACCCTCAAAATAGAATACACCATAATTTTCAGACTATAAGACGCACTTTTCTTTTCTCGCCCTACCCCAATTTGGGAGGAATAATGGTGTTAATGCTGCTGTTGAGTTCTGTTTACATTTACATTGGTGAAATATTATGTTATCATTTTACCACATTTCTTGCTTCAAAAATTTTTTCCCTATTTTCCTCCTCTAAAACCTGGGTGCATCTTATGGCCCAAAAAATACAGTGATTTTTCCTATAACCCAGTCCCCACCTTGCTTTCTTCCACCTTCATGTCATCTTCCTTATGTTCCTCCTTTAATTTCAAATGCATGAAAGAAACTGCAGTACTTACCTGGCAGGGGAGAGAGCATGTTGCAAAGGCAGTTTTCCCGGGGCGAGGCTCATCTGTTGGGCTCTGGACGACTGGTCCCTGCAATTTCCCAGATGTGGGGAATGCAATGCATTTGTGTAGTGGGGGACAATTGCTCTCTCCAGGAAAAAAAGAAACTGCAAAACTCATTCTCTGGAGTATTGGAGATCTTGCTTCCTATCAATTGTCAGTTTTGGCTCAGATAAAGTCTTATAAAAATTCTCTACCAGTTTGGACATTTCCTTATGTTGACATTGCGTGTTTGTTTTTTTTGAAAACTGGACATTTAAAATATAATGTGGCAACCTTGGAAACCATTTTCCCTCTTCATGGTTTGTATTTCAGTTTCTGCTGAAAACTGGACATTTTAAATAATGTAGAAATTTTGGAAATCATTTTCCCTCCTTATAATTTGTTGCTTTTTGTTCTTTGTCTAGTGACTTTAAATTCTGTCAATTCTGTGTTCTTTGTCATGCACAGGCACTGGAGTCTCTGCTTGGTTAGCTTAGTGATCATCTCATGGTTGGGCAGACATCTCCTTAAACACCTGGGCCCAAGAGGTCTCTCAGCCTTGGACAAGGGTTGGTGTATGGAGGCATGTGTGGTAGGGTATGCTTTGACACTCAGCCACGCACCTTGCAACAGCCTTAGTGTTTACTTCCTCCTCCTTTAGAGCCTCAAGGTAGCCGGTGGTGAGAGTTTAGAAGTTTTTTAGGTCTTTCCTGAACATAGCTTTGAGCATAACCCCTACAACACATCCACAGCCTTTTAGATTCCCAGGACTATGTCAAAGCATTTGTTCGTTTTCTTTCTGTTGTCCCTCCAGGGTGATACTGGTGGAAAGACTTCTTTATTGTGCTAGTTGAGCATCTTGGCCAGGTCATGATTCTAAACCAAAGATGTCCTACCTCCTAACGAGCTCATGGTTAGTAAAACACAATAAGCATCCTCGATGCATCCTGTGTCCACTCCACACAGTTTGTTTTGGACATGCCATAAACTTGCCTCATGCAGAATCACCTAGATAATAGCTCTTTGTGATCTCAAGTACCGGGCTCTGCACACAAATCTTCAGGATGGTCTACACACTGCCAGTACACGCCCCCTAGCATGGCCACGGTTACAGACTGACAATTCCAGACATTTTTTAAGGGTATGGAACTACTGGAACTTCACAAGACTAATGGTGAGAAAGTAATGGCACCACTACTTTGGAAAAGTTTCAGTTTTTATAAATATGTTTATCATATAATCCAGAACTTTCACTCCTAGGTATTTAACCAAGAGAAATGAGAACATACATTTAGAGACTTGTTATAAATTAGTTTTATTCTTAATAGCCAAAAGTCAAAATAACCCAAGGGTTCGTCAACAGGAGACTGGACAAGTTGCGGTTTGTCCATACAGTGGAATATTATGCAACCATCAAATGAGCAAACTACCGACATATATACAATGTGGATAAATTTCATATACACGCTGAGCAGAAGTGAGGCACATAGTACATATTCTCTGATTCCATTCATATGACATTCTGGAAAAGGCAAAACTGTAGTCAGAAAGCAGGTCAGTGGCTGCCTGGGCCAGCAGTGAAGGAGAGCACAAGGAACTCTGGGGAGTGATGGAAATGTCTGTGTCCTTGTTGTGTTGGAGGATCTACAGTTTTGCACACTTGTCGAATCATTCTGAACTAGTCATGTACCATGTAATGTTTTGGTCAACAGACCACATTGTTGACATAAGAACCTATAAAGAATTTTGAATTTTTATAAAAAATTATTTGAGCCAAAATTATGTATGTCTAACCACTATGCTGTACACCTGAAACTAATATATTTAATGTCAACTATAACTGATAAAAATTTAAAATAACAAAGGAAAAAATTATGTGAGCCAAACAGGATACACCCAGAAGCAAGATCTCAACAGAGAAAAGTGGTTCTAAGAATAGCATTTTGCATCTTCTTTTATGAATTTGGAATTGAGGGAACTAAGGAGGATTTCATGAAGGTGGGAGAAAGCAAGGTGGGGACTGGATTACAGGATAGTTAACAAGGTTATATGCTTTCTTGAGTGGTTTGTTTCAAAAGCAAGTTAACCTAGTTACACAGAAACAATGGATAGGGCTGGCTTAAAGCAAAGGTAAACCTTTTACTAAAGTTACAGGCCTAAAACAAAAACTTTCTAGGCCTGGGGCATGACTTACCCAGTTAGGAATTTATGATCAGATCACTAAGGTGACTTTTCCATAGGACCCAGTTTTATGTCTATGGCATATAGGGTGGTGGTCCCACAAGATTATGGAGCTGCAAAATGCCTACAGTCCAGTGAGTGTCATAGTAGTGCTAACAAACCTATTACACAAATTCTTAAAGCTGTACTACTACTGCCTACCATAGTCAGTACAGTAATGCCAGCTTTGTAGCCTAGGAGCTATAGGGGAACAGAATTTATCATCCCAAAATACATTTCTTTGGCATAAGGATTATTTTAGGTTGGCTAATTTTAAGAAACAGATTTGGGGAAAAGCTCTGAAAACCAGGTAGAAGTGACCATTTGTAACTACATTTATAAGGGAAATCTCCATTTGTAAGGGTATCTTCCCTCTCTGTACCAACAGGGGGATGACCTTACCTCTCTAGAAACTCTTTAACAATGCAGAAAGAAGTAACTTAAGTCTAAGTAACAGCCTTACCCACTTTTACTGTGCTTTTCCTGGTCACCTCCCTTAACTGGCTCCCCACCCTCACCCCCACCCCATCATCTTTTTTGTCTTCAACTAGAGATGGTATTTAAGGTGGTGGCCCCGGCCATTTTGGTGACTTATTCCATTTTCCTTGGTCTCTCCTATGTGTACAGGAGGTATACATGTTATTCAATGGTGATTTGTTATCCTGTTAATGTCTTTCATCATGGGGATATTTCAACCAATTCTTTCCCTACAGAGCTACAGGCTATACCATGTAAGTACACTCTATGACATTCATATGACAAAATCACCACATGTATCCATGTCCTTAAGTGATGGATGACTGTATGCACTCTGAATATATGCAGTTTACTTTATGTAAACTATACCTCAGTTAGGTCCTTTTTAAGTTTAAGAAAAAAATGGTGTAACACAAAACAAAAAGGAAAAAAAAGTTTGCAGGAAAAACACTTGTTTTTGCTCTCTCCAGTCCCCACTCAGACCACCTGCAGGGCCAGGTGGAGGAAGTGAACCCAAGTACCCAGGGTACCTGAAGGGAACAGCCAATACCAGGGTAGCCAGATGAGCCAGGTGTTAAGTCAAAAATTATTTTTGTGTTGTTTTAATTTTAAGTATTCATACCCAATTCAAAACTTTTAATAATGCCACACAAAGTGAAGCAAAATACATCTTCAGGCCACCATGGCTCACACTCGGTCAGCTGTAGTCTGTGCCCTAAAATCTGTCCTGGGTTCGTCCAGCAGACCCACGAGTTCGGACCATACAGATGCTTCCTGGGGTGACTCTGGCATGGGGCTCAGTCCTCCTTGGAAGTAACGGATACTGGTCTGACACGGGGCTGGGCCCAGCCTGTGAGATAGGACCCTAATGGCTCTGGACGAAAACCAGCTCTGGGCATGCCCACACCATGTTTCCTCTGGCTCTGCAGCTTCTCAGGGCTCCTACTGCACCTACTGCACCCTGGGAGCACTTGCCCTGAGGGAGTCACATTAGCACCTGGAAAGGTGAGATAGCCCACAGGGCCCCCAGAACCCCATTTACTGTTCAAGCCTGTGCTGTCACTTGCCCTGGAGTGTGTGGGCAATTCCAGTGCCCTCATCCTCCCTGGGCATGGCTCACTCTGCTGGATGTCTGATACACCCTTTGCCCCTGGCTCAGTTTGGGGGCAACCCGGTGTCCTGTGCAGTGGGGCTGGCCGTCCTGAATGTCTTGGAGAAGGAGCAGCTGCAGGCTCATGCTGCCCATGTGGGCAGCTTCCTGATGGAGCTTCTCAGGCAGCAAAAAGCCAAGCATCCCATCATCGGGGACATCAGGTGAGGCTTGGGGCAGCAGTCACTACCCGCTAACCTAGCATCTGCCAGAGGCCTAGAGTCACTCCTCCTCTCACCTCCTGACCACCTGGGACAGTGGGAGCTTTACTCCCCACTCCACAGTGGAAGACTGAAGGGCCCAAAATAGCACTTTCGGGAGGGGGAAAAAGTAGCTCTGGCCCCCACCCTTTCCTCCATCCATGGCAAGGGCCCTTCCCCATTGCAGTTACTTCCTGGAATTGTCACACACGCACGCCACCACGTCTCCTGTGGCCCTGTCTCCCCAGGAGGCAGAGGTACAAGCCCCGGTGAACTTTCTGATGGGGCTTGGCTGAGACCCAGGCAGAGGGCAAGGGCAAGGCCCATGGTCCCCTCAGGCCTGGCCTCCTGAGATGTCGCCTTCTGCTCCAGGGGCGTCGGGCTCTTCATTGGTGTGGATTTGATCAAAGATGAGGCCACAAGGACACCAGCCACCAAAGAGGCTGACTACTTGGTGTCCAGGTACTTTTTCTTCAAACCAGTTGCCTTTGCAGTGTGTAGGGCCCTGACCGACAAAGGAGCCTGCCTCTTGCCTCTCCTTCCATCCACTGTGTTCCAGGGCACTCTGGACCTCTGAAGGGGGAAGGGGAGGCCAATCCGTGCATCCCCTTGACTGAGGTCTGCAGACAGAGAAAGCGGCCCAGTCAGCTCTGTGCCCCATGCCTGGCAGCAAATGTTTCAGATGGGAATGGGCCGCTGCCAGTCTGAGCACCACCTCTGCCAAGATGCCAGAGCTACCCGGGCTCAGACCCTGGCTGCCCGAGGGAAGCAGCTTCTCCAGAGCTGTGCCAGGGACCAGGGAGACAGGGCTCCTGCTCTTCATCTGGCTGGGCTGTCTGGATGGAGCAGCACCTCCAGACTCAGAAGCCGCCCCACCCAACCCATTTCACATTTCTTTCCCTTGGACCCAAGCAGGACCCCAGCCTCAGGACCCTTCCCCCTTGTTTTGCCCCTGTATCTCCATTTCTCACTACTCCCACCTCAGAAAACCCTTGGGAAATGTGTACCATTGTTTGGTATTCACATAAACAGTACAATTTGTGCAAAATCTTCCCTTCCACGCAGCTTTGGACTCACCCCTCCTAAGCAACCATCCAGTCTCTGCCTACTAATTGATGGTCAGGCGTACCTGCCCATTCACCCCATCCCCCCACCCCCAGACTCAGGAATCCAGCATGGCTGGTAGGAAGTGGGGAGTTAGATCCAAGGCCCAGCCTGACTTCGCACAGCCACCCTGGTGGTTTCTCCAGTTCGGTGAGGAAACAGGCCAGTGACGGGTGTCTCAGTTGCACACACCTTGCCAGCGTGGGGGCGGGGGGACAGCGCAGAGCTCAATTCCAAGTCCTGACCTTGTTCTTCCTAGCACAGCCACAGTGCCAGGGAGAACAGGATGGGAGAAAGCAAGACGACAGACTGAGGGACACCATGGTTCAAAATAACAAATTTAAAGAAAGAGTCGGGGGTCAAGTGTAAATACAATCACATCAGACCTCTTCTCTCAGTGGCCAAAATTCCTTCCTAGGTTATAAGTATTATATGTGGAATATTAAAAATGATTCTTAGGTACCAGTGATAACATTAGGGTAACGTTGCCCTAAAAAGAACTGGAAATCAGAACCGACAGTGCTATTTGGGATTTCAAGATTGCCTGTGTGTAGAGCAGGGAAGCTACTGAGGCCAGGTGGGGGGTGCATGGAGTTCATTAGACTGCTCTGTAATGGTGGACATGCCCATCCACCTAAAGTTAATTCACACACATCAAAAAAACTACATATAAAATGGAACCACACTGTAGCCCCAGAACTAGCCTTAGCTTAGATGACATGGACTCCAGGAATAGATGAGAGGAGGCCCCTGCTCTTGGGAGCAGCGGGTCAGGTGGAAGGCACCCCAGGCAGGCCTTTGAGACCAGGCCACAAAGGATGGGCATGAGTTTTGCAGGGGGTGGTCAGTGCCCTGTCCAAGGGGAGAACTGACATGTGGAGGGTTCCAAGGGCAATGTCACTGGAGTTTTGGCCAAAGGCCAAAGCCAGGCTGAGGAAGGCCTTGGAGGCCATGTGAAGGGCCCTGCTGTGTCCTGTCCTATAGGCTGAAGGAGAATCACATTCTGCTGAGCACTGACGGCCCTGGGAGGAACGTCCTGAAGTTTAAGCCCCCGATGTGCTTCAGCCTGGACAATGTACAACATGTGGTGGCAAAGCTGGATGCCATCCTAACAGGTGAGCTTGAAGCCCAAGGGACAGCAGACCACATCCCTAGAGCTGGAGCCAGTAACCAGAACCTTCCAGCGTGACCAGGGAGGGTCTCCGTGGCTGGGCCAGGTGTCCTCTGGACAGTGCAGGGAACAAGGAGCTAAAGTGAAGAGGAGTGCTATTGGTCCAGGCCTCCCCTAGTCCTGGGCAGGTGGGAGCTAGGCCACCACCCATCCAGCCGAGCAGGCTCCACTGTGGGATGCAAGACAAAGGAAACCAAGGCTTGGGCTCATGAGCCCAGCCATCAGAACTATAGCTCATTCGAGTGGCCTGAAAGTCACTATGAAATGTAAATGGCAGAAACTTTGTTTTACTTGAACTAATAAGGGTCACCAACAGCTAGTGTGGCTGGAATCTGCACACAGGTTGAACACAAAATGAAATTTCTCCCCATATTCCCAGTCACCTGGGAACATCAAGGTCAAGGCAGTCTCCCCTGAATCCACTCGCAAGATCTCTACAAATCAGACATGCCTGTGCACTAAGACTGGGTTTGCACGCAGCGTTCTGTGGGGTGGCCCACAATAGGCAAAGACCCTTCTCCTGTGTAGGCTGTTTCACTGCAGTCCCCAGGGCATAGGAGCTAAGGGCCATCCCTACTGCAGACAACTGCAGGTGGTACAAGACCTGGGTGAGACACAGAACTGGGTTAGGTGTCCTATACAGAGGAGCCTCCAGTTGAGTCTGGATGTCTCAGGGAATATGAGGATTGGGGTTTTCCTTTGGGGAAATGGGTGCTGACCAGAGAAGCTGGTGGCACACACACAGATAAAGGGCGGGGATCAAGGGCCTGTCTGGTAAGCCAATCTCCCAACTGCCATCCAAGAGGCTTCAGACACTGAAGGCAGCAGGGGCCTTCAGCAGAAAAGTTAACCATTTTGGGCACCTTGGGGGTGTTTTTCAGACATGGAAGAAAAGTTGAGAAGTTGTGAGACACTGAGGTCCCAGCCCTGTGGCAGTCCTGCCAAGCCATGTCCTTCCCTAGGTAAGTGGGCCATAGCTGGGCTCCTGATGCACTCCTTAGAAGCCAAGCTTCAGCTTTCTTTCTGGGAGTGAGGGGAGACCAAACTCCCTTTATTACAGGGCTCTGTCCACCCAGAACCCCCACCACCTCTCGCCACCGGACTTGAGGTCTGCCAACCAGGAGGTGGTACCCCTGAATGTAGGTTCACTGTCCTGCTTGAAGACAGAACCCCATTTCCATTGCTAAGATAGGTCTTCCCAATCACCTGCACGAATCACTTGCCCTGGGGGTAGTAACATCCCTGCTGCACAATCCTCACCTCCATGAAAGTTGCCTTAAACCTCTAAGACATTTCCTAACTTTAAAAGGGCCCAAGTCCGACGCAAGGCCCAGTCGTTACAGGAAACTGAGTGAGGATGTGGAGAGGTGGTGGCTATGCCTGACAGCATGCTGCTGGTCACGAAAGATAATGGAGCTCAGAAAGCTCGGGAGCACGTGGCCCTGTCCTCTCTCACCACATATCCCACACTCACCCAGGCTTGGGGGTTTTTACATTTTTATTTCAAAAGCTTGGATAGCTTCAATATCCAGGTCGTGGCAAAATCAGGACACGTGTAAAATACCTTACAATACATTAGATTCCCAAAAGGTACCAAAAAGTACAGTAAAATTAACACTTCCAATACAGGAAATGTATGACACAAATAATATAAAATTAAAAGGTGAAAAAAGGTGACACTGGTTTCCTAAGATAGACCTCTTTACAACCAGGGTCTACAGGTCCAGGCTGCAGAGCAGCAGCAGGAAACAGACCCTCCCACCTGGTTTGGGGTAAGCCGGTCATACAATCAGCCCACAATGCCGCTCTGGTCTCTGAGACATCACACGCTGCCTAAAACAACTAGAGCTCTGGAAATAGTCAACAGGAAAGTGATTTCCAGGGGGGAAATTTTAAATAAGATGCACATGGAACAAGCCATAGAAAGTATGCCAAGTTAAATTTGGTACATAATTGTTTGTGTTCACTCAATACCCAAACAAAGCATGTGCGGTCAGTCGGGCACTCCTGCCGAAGCCTCAGTATGGCTTGTAGTTATTCTGATGGCCACCGCGTCGCTGGCTCTTCCCGTAATTCGTACTACCCTGGCCTAGGGACAAGAATAACAATGATAGCAGCTAGATTTATTGAACGTTTACCCCTGTGCCAGGCGCTTGGCTCAAATCCTCACCAGGGCCAACACCCCTGGGGCAGGCCACAAAGCCCAGCCCATCTGACTCCAAAAGCCCCTGCTGCCACTGGCCCCTGCACTGTCTGTCCTGCCTCCCAGGTGGGCTTCCCTCTCTCCTACTTACTGTAGTCGTAGCCGGGGCCGTAGCCGTAATAGCCATAGGGCGAGTAGTCGTAGCCGCCATAGCCGGGCCCGTAGCCCTGCTGGTAGCCGTAGCCCTGGTTCCAGTAGTTGCCGTAGCCCTGATTCCAACTCTGACTCTGACCTGTGGGGGGAGCAGGGCACAGGGGCCCATGGACCATTTAGCACATGCAGGAGCTAGGATGGAGGAAATCCTGCCCTGTGGGTAGCAGGGTTACTATGGCAGCTCAGAGGTAGAAGCCAAGGGGCTGCTGTCCTGGTATACAGGGCCCTGCACTCGAGACCCAAGCTCTACAGAGCTGAAGGCCAGGACAGAACTGAACACTAACTTCACTCAGGGCCAGAGAGGCAGGAGCTCACTCTCACTCAAATCACCTTCTGATCACCCCCCACCCTCCCTGGCAGCTTGGCGTTAAAAGTTCAGACTTTGGAGCCAGAGGGGCCTGGATGGGAAAGGAGATGAAGCGCCTGGCACAGCCCTGCCCTACCTTATATGCCCACCCACCCATGGGTGGACCAAGACTCAGGACAGCCACAGAGCCCATCAGGCCCTTTACTCCTGGGTGAAGCAAATGATCCCAATGCCCTGAGGCACCAGGTCGCATGGAAAATACGGGCTCTTCTCCTCCAACCAGCAGCAGCACAGCCTGGATACCCAGGAGAGCCATTCCTGTTCCTGCCCACCCTGCCACACCAGCGGCCAGAGTGAGCCCCCAAGACAGGCACGGAAGCTCCATGCAGGCAGAGAACCCAGACCCATGTGCATCCAGGTTTCACTTACCTCCACTTCCACCACCACCACCACTGCTTCGGCTCGCTCGGCTGCGGTTTCCACCACGGCCGGAGCCTTGCTGCTGTTGATAGAGCTTTCTGGGCAGAGCCACCTTGATTTCACACTAAAAGTCAAGAAGATAGGCAGTCAGGCCACTGGGACATGTTCAGGAGAGGGACTGTGCACAAAGACCTCCATTTACAAACGCTCGGATGGCAGATATGATCCATCTTTTCAATAACGAAACATATTAGGATGGGAAACCACATTTGGGCTACAATCTCTTGAGAACCGTAACTAAAACCTAGACAGACCAAGATCCATACTAGGGCCTTTTCACTCAAACCTTTCCCCAGAGACTGTACTGGGGATGATGGACAGAAACCTAGGTTTGCAGGGGACAGCCCTGGGGCAGCTCCACATCTAACAATTGGGAGGAGAGGAACAGCTGGGCCAAAGCCAGCTCGGTATAGTAAAACACCGAATGTCAGATCTGGTACCACCTTGGTCCTACTAGGCAAGGGGATTGGAGGCTTCCCAGATGAGGGGCCTCAAAGGATAAGAATAAGACTTTCTAATTTTATTTTACTTTCTTACAGGAAAAAATGAAGCACCCCACTCAAATGTACAGTGGTGCCCATGATCTCCAATGTACAGAAGAAAGCCACTGAGGCTCAGGGTGGGGCTTGCTGAGGCCACACTGCTACCTCCACCCCTCCCCTCAACCCCTGGTCTGCTGTTGGGATGGGCCAAAAGCTTATGTCCCCTTGGGGCCTAGAGTTGGTTTCTTCTTTGTTCAAACACCTGCCCACCATAGATGGAGGCAGGGTCAGGGACCTTCCGGTGCTCCCAATGAAATCAAAAGTGTGTTTTTTAAACCAAGTACTCCGGTACATACTCCACTCCCAACTAAGACCAGTATAAAAACCTTTTACATAAGACGTCCCCATGCGAGCACACTCCTATAAAGAACTGGCAAATTACCTCCATCAGTGATGCAACTTGATGTGTTCTACCCTACTAGACCAATGTACAAATACACTATTTCAAGACCCAGTGCCAGCAGTTTGCCTAGTGCTGCCCTACACGCTCCTCCTGCCCATCTCTCATTGTGGCACAGAGAAAAAGGCCTCTGTGTCACCACCCACTGGGCTAACAACTGATGGGCAACATCTTTATCCAACTGCCCCTAGAATCCAATCTCATTTTAACAGCCCACTCCAATCTTCCTCAATTCCCAATCAGGACACTGAAGTTTCCAGGAGCCCCACCCTACCTGTCCACAGTAAGCCACAGCCCTACCTCCCAAAAGCCACCTAGAGAATACCTGAAGCAATACCCCGCCCTCCAGACCAAAGTTCAGGGGTAACGGTTGCACTTCTCACTTCTGCTTATTTGAAGGCAAAACTGGCCCTGGACATCAGTGAGTCAGGACCCTGGGAGCTCTTTGGGAAGGATCTTGCTGGGATGAGCTGACTAAACCAGTGTACAAAGGGGATGGAGATGAACAAAGACTTGGTTGTGTGACAGCAACAAGAAAAGAGAAAAGCTCTGCTACAGCTTCTATAGCAGGAAAGAGCTCACCACCAAGGGGGAAAAAAATCAGTGAATGGCAGAAATTCTAGTCTTCTGAGAACTGCAGACCTTAGACTCTAGAGCCAGAAACATCTTGATCTCTAGAGCTTTATATCAAGAATCAAAGAGATTTCTTGGCACCCTTGCTCCATCACAAAGAAGCCACCTTTCCTAGCCTGCCTTCCTCACATCCTGTTTTTACTGCCAGTCCTGCCAGACTAGGAGCTCCTTGAAGGACAGGACCATCTGTCCCACAATCAGGGCAGCAGATGCTGCAGAGAAACAATGAGGTCTCACTACCCTGGAGAGCTCTTGGAGGCAGCTCAACCCCTAAGCCACACCTGCAAGGCCCAGCCCTCCCTCAGCAAGAGGGCGGACACACAGAACTGGGGACACCTTACCTTACTTGCACCAATGGTGTGGAACTTTTTCTCAAGAGCCTTCCTCACAGGTTCCTCCTCTTCTTTAAAGGTGATGAAAACAAAGCCCCGTCTTTTGTGTGACTTTGGATCCATTGGAAGATCAATGGCCTCAATCTGCAAACACAGGCAAAGCTCAGGACCAGTATCTCCCCAACCCCAGGGCCCACAGGGTAAAGTTCCCTAACGGCCAGAGAATGATAAAGAAGGATTGCTGAGGAGTGCTCCAATCAGCCAAGGCTGTCAAGGACCAGGAAGACCGCTGCCTCAGGGCAGCTGGCAGGCCACACTCACCTCCCCAAACTCGCCGAAGTACTCTCTGATTTCCTCCTCTGTGGCTTCGGGATTCAGACCCCCCACAAAAATTTTCTTTACAGGTTCCTTCTTCATGGCCATGGCCTTTTTGGGGTCAATGACACGACCATCCAGCCTGTGCTCCTTCTGATCTAGGACCTGGTTCCAAAGGAAGGAAACTGGATTCTAACTCAGCACCATGACCCTATTAAAGGTCCTTCTCTTGGAGCTACAAAACCCCCAAACACGTACACAAAATGTTTCATCCCCTCCAAACCCTATCACCAACCTGACTTTCCAACCCAGCCTACAAACATTAACATGTAAATCAGTCCTCACCACCCGCCACACTTCTCCAATGTTATACACCCCTCCTCTTCCTACCTAGGAAGGCCTAGCTCCAGAAGTACAGTGGAGGAGACTAAGCATAGGGGCTGGAACCCTTACTCCACCACCTCACTAGCTGTGTGAGTTCTTCTACTTAAACTTCGGAACCTTAGTTTGTTTTCTGAGAAATGGAGATAAAATAATGCCTGTCTCATGGCAACTTTGGACTTTTCTCCAGTCCTCACAATAAAGTGTTTGCAGTGTCCAGCACAGGCACAAGAAAGGCAAAAAATGTCCACTCTCATCTCCCTGGACCACTCCAGCACATACTCACTAACCCACTTAATCTGTATTTTTAATTTTTCAAAAACACAAAACTGCTTTTCTTTTTCCAAAACGCTCAACCACGTGCAGAACACACGAACTAATCACGCTCTAAGAATGGTGTCCTCCTTAGAATACACTGCTGCTACGAGGTACCCAGCTTACCTTCTCCACACTGGCTGCATCTTTGAAGAGAATAAACCCAAACCCTCTTGACCGGCCAGTGTTGGGATCCATTTTTATTGTACAGTCAACGACCTCTCCAAATTTGGAAAAATAATCCTTCAGGTCGTTTTTGCTGGTATCCCAGCTCAGGCCACCAACGAACATTTTTCTGAAATAGTAGGGTGAGACACATGGCAACAAGTCTTATAAGAAAGCTGTGATATTAGGAGGACAGGCCCTGGCAAAGATTTCGATGAAGAGTTTATAATAAATAAAGCCGCCATCCGGAACAAAGGTCTACCCCTTAAATCGTAAGGGCTCTACTTTTGCAAGGTGTTAAATGTCCACTACCCTCCCAATGTCAACTTTGATCCTAACAAAGCTTCAGGAGACAGCACCCCCAGACCGGGCAAGGGAAAGGAAGGACAACCTGGCCAGGGGTACAGGCTCTGAGCGATCACAACGGAAGCAATTTGTGTTAACAACCACGTATCAAAAGACCATCGTCCCTGACAGCCTTCGCCACCTCCGAAAACTCGCTCTCAAGAACTCGCGGCTTCCGGGTGCAGGGACCGTAACTCCGCCCTCGGCAGGAGGCGGAGGAGAGGGAGGACGCGGCACGGGCGCGCGCCAACTCCGCCCACGCAGGCCCCGCGCGGCCCAGACCCGCTCCGCCGCGGGTCCCAGCGCACGCCCCTTCCGGGCGCCGGCCCGTCCCCGGCCCCGCGCGAGAGGCCCCGAGGCGGCGCCAAAGTCGACCCAACAAACTCCTGCAAACTCCAGCGCGAGCGGCGACGCAACAGACAGGTGCGGAGGACCGGTCCTCGGGCCCGAGCAGGCCCCGGCCGGCCGCCCGCCCCTCCCCCCGCCGCGTGGCGCCAACAAAAGGCGGCCCCGGAACAAAGGCGGCGGCCGGTCGGCCCGGGCCGCACCTACCCTGCGTCGTCCTCGGTCCTGCTGGCGTTGATCTGGTCGCCCTCGGCGCTGGTCTGGTTCACGGCCGGGGGAGCCGCACTCCCGCCTCCAGCGCCCGCTGCGGTCCCGGTGCCGGGCCCGGCCGGCGACTCGCCTTCGGGGGCGGCCTCGTGCCCGTTCTCGGTGGCACCCGTCGTCTCCATTAGCTGTTCCTCACCCGCTTCCGACATGTTAGACCCGGGCGCAGCGGCTCCTGCAAAGAGCGGCCACAACAGGTCAGGCCGGAGCGGCTCCCGCCTGCCGCCCGCCGCCCACGGGCCCGGCCGCTCACCTCGCCGCCGGTGAGGCCGCGAGGCCCGTTCGTCCCCACCCGCCGGGAAGGTGCGGCGGGCTCGGCCGCGATCAAGCTCGCGCTGCCCGGCTTCCCCTCCCTCCGCTGACGGAGCCGCCGCAACCTTGCGCGCTCCTTCTCGACCACCGCTGCACGGAACCCACCGACCAAGTCTCGCCCGGGCCCGCGCAGCGCCGCCGCCTGACAATACCGACTCGTGGCGCTCTTTATAATGCCGGAGCCGGGGTCCACTTCGCAACAAGACGCATGCTCATTGGCTGCGCCTTCCCGTCATTCAACGCTGCGCCGGCGTCCCATTGGCCTCGTCGGCGCGCGAACGCTAGAGCCGGGCGGGCTTTGTCCTCATTTTAGAACCCGCGCGAGCCTGGGCCCGGCGAAGCGTTGCCGAATTGGAAAATGGTCTTGTCGTAGGCCGTGAGGCCCTAGTCGTACTCTCTGTCCTGTCAGGCCGCCGTCTCTCGTTCCAGCGCCCCCAGTCCCAGCTTTGACAGCCGCGGCCATTCTCATTTCCCAGAAAAGTAAAGTGGGCTCGAATAAGTCGCACAAACCAAGGCCGTCCGGCTGGCAGTGACAGAGCCCGGGCGGATGAGATCCGGCGCATAGGGTCCCCCAGGCAAGCTCGAGGGATTGCGACGCAGCCCGCCCTCCCCCTTGACCTTGGTCCCGTCAGAGCCCCGCGCTCGCGCCCTTTCTGCCGCCTCCCACAGTAGCAAGAAGCGGGCTGGGGGAGGAGTCCTCCGGGGATATTGTGCCAACCGTGGTGACCAGGTTGTGGCGGGAGAAACGGTAGAACCATGGTTGTTCCCCAATCTTAGTTCGCCGAACACCACTTTGACGATTAGCACCGCGTTTATACTTTTGGTTGCTTTAAAAAAATTCGCTTAATTCACTTATTTTTGCTGAAATTTAGTTTTTAAGAAAAATATACCACTAACAGGAAATCATCGTGGGGGGGGGCGGTCTCTGTTTCTTATATACAAAACCCCTTAATATTATCTCCTTGGCACCAAATTCGAAAGGCCTGCATAATCTGTGATTCCATATGTGGGTGAAGAGTCCCAAATGGACCTAGATCACAACCTCGGAAGCCTGAGGATTACCAATAGCAATGGGACACAAGTAGCTGACAGTTTCCCTGCGAGATTCCTGCAGCCAGGCCCAGTGTGGTGGGCTAGGCAGTCTACTTTCTCATCTGGTCTCCTAACAGCCCTGTTAAAAGAGGTACCATCACCAATTTGTAAATGAGGACACCGAAGTCCAGAGCCTGGGGCCAAAGTGTACTCCCTTATCCAACCAGCCAAGGAGTTGCCGTGAGAATGAAAAATGTGACAATTTTACAATCGCAAAAAATAATCGACATTAGAAAATCTGAAGATTTGGCTACACAGCACTGCACTCTCCCCAAGGTATCAATCAACTAGAGCTGGGGCACCAACCCCTACACGATCAAATGCCCTCTGCTTCAACTACAAGGCCCACCTGACCACTTCAGGCTAGGTTTCAACACGAATTGACATATATCCATAAAACCTTAGTCATGTATTGATCTGCCAGTAAGGCTTGCAGTGAAATCCAGAACCCCACAATGAAGACAATTCAAGTGATTACCTAAGT